AATAGAGACATAGACAACACATTAGATTAATTGATAGTAAACGCAATTTAAAGTTGAATTCTGATCATTTATATTGGCCTACAGAATAGGTTAACACTTGGTGTGAAGAATTCTATTACAATTCCTTAATTTACAGAAACAGTTTAATTGTTAATAAATTGAAGACACTGTAGTACAATATACCAAAAATATACAGAAAGCCATTGGTACTAGAACTATACATATACCCTGTCAAAGACCTGTAAAATGAAATTTGTTATACTGCATCACCATTGTAATGAACATGCACTTTACCACACAAGATCAACAAGTTTCTTTAATAAGAAATATATCTCACATAGCATGCATGTTCATAAAGCATGATTATTGGTTTGATGATATGTGAAAGTGTTGATATGCCCATGCAAAAACCAAAGCAAAGCTACATATCAAATGTGATAATGCCATATATTTTCTGAGACCAACAACAGAGACTATTATTTCAAGGGACTTTGGCATCCAATAAGGGAGATTTGCACACAACACACTTAACAAAATTTTCAATCAGTTCTAAATTTAAAAGTCATTTTTAATGTTAGTCCAAAATAATTATTAGCAGTAATTCAAGAAAACAGACTATTTTGTATTAAGTGAAAATGAAAAGCATTTGGAATAGTTTTCTTCTTTTTACTGTTAAAATCAGGACTTTTGTTAGAAGTATGAAAAAAGAACATTTTATTTTCTTTATAGTGAGAATCAGATCATCAATACCAATCACCTCAATGTCTTTAAAAGCTTATTTCCGCCAGTACGCTATAATTTGTTAGTAATTGTATCACAATGTACTATATATGAGAAAAATGGACTGACCCTCCCTATATGACACTCCCTCTATGATCCTTCCCATATCTGTTGTCGACAGTTACTAACAAGTTGGAAAAACTAATGGAATAATAAAAATGAGGTGAACTGAAATGTCAGTATCCTGAAATACCATATACATTTACGTATACCTGAATGTAGAAGTGTAAAAATCCAGTATAATTTGCAGAAATGGATTTTATCTAATTACAATTTATACTTTCTGATTTATTTTTGCTGCTTAGATAATTTTTTTGAATAACAAAGCAGTCCAGTACTGAATGAGCTCATAACTGTGTTCAATGACATAAAGATTTATGAATTGCAGTCATATGGGATCTTTTAAATTTCTGGCAACATTTTGAATGAAGTAGCAGACTTTGTACCCTTTAGATAACAAATCTTCTAAACAGCCTTATCTTTATAAATACATTTATGACTTAAAAGTATACACTAATCACTTTGCATTTCAGTAAAATTATTCTAAATCACATAAAATCTATATTTGTATAAGTGTTCTCAATTAAATTTTTCTTCATCACTAAGTTTTATAAATTGGTTTTGAAGACTTATGGCAGCATTTTTATTTCCCAGATAGAGAAATCATTTTAAAGTTATGAAAGAAAATTTTATCATACCCTGGTTGAAAAGTTATACAGATATAATCTTGTTGTAACACACCCTTTAGAAAGGTATGTTGTTTAACGGTAACCACCCACATAACAGTCAGTAGACAGGGTTACCACATACCTACAGCGACACAGTGCTACTCAGTAAGACATCAACTAACAAATATGTATTGATAGCCCCAACAACACTTCCATTGATTCAAACCTGGCTGTACCAACAAACCGAAACATTTCTCGACTTCAACCAACCAGTACGGATCACATTTAGCTTTCTTTCATGAAAGATATAATTGAAAAGTATGGTATTTAAGACGGATGGTTTCTACAGTAAAACTGCACTTTCTAGCTGCATACAGTCTTGTGATTATTACGGAAATACTTGGAAATAAGCCAGTCGAAACAGGTGGCACAAGATCCAGTTTATTAGAAAAATTAACCTTGTTTTGAAATACACACAAAAACAACTTTTTAAGGTTTTTTTTTTTAACCAGGTAAATAGATGTCAAAGGATTTCTTATATAAAATCTACATAAAATAAGAAGGTGACTTCAGTCAATCATTCCTTTAAACCCAACTGAATTTTTAATCATTGTTTCTTTTTTTATTAATGTACTGTATATTATGACACATCACTGTGCATTGGACCTTATTTATCGAGGATTTTTTCAGGTAAGTCCAGAATACCATTCCTCAAGATTGGAGTGAGTCCCACTGGAAAATCATGAGTCCAGGCTCCACTTGTATAAAACATCTCCTCTGCTGATATCTCCTCAAAAACGGCTTGTATAAAATTTTCTCAAGGAACAGGAGGAAGTCATCGGCTAGGATGTCCTGAAATTCCTTGAGGAATTTTCATACAAGATATTTTCAAGGAGATATTAGCTGAGGAAAATCTGGGCTTGAGGAAATCTGAAATTGAGATATTTTATACAAGTGGGGCCAGGACTACTCAAATATCTAAATTTAAAAAATCCCAGTTTAGTGTAGCAGATGTCAGTGATACTTTAACTTAATGCCAATTTAATTTACACTGCACATATGTAGGTTGGATTCATTTCAATTAAAATTAAAATGTATCTTGTTTTCAGTCAGAGTGACCAGCCAAGGTCATTTTGAGGCAAGGTCTCCATGCAGTAGCTGGTGTCTACCTCACTGAATAACATTTGAAAGGCCAGTGTTGCATACCATCAATCATGTAATGGGGACAGCAGGCACAATTCTTATGCCCCTGTAACTACAACCAGGCAACATCACAGATCAGTATATTTCTCAACTTCTCGAGAAATATAGATCGCTATGGGTAGAAGTGTTGAACCATGTACTTGGGATTTTTATCTGAACATAGCTCATACCCTGGCTCTCTACTGAGCTACCACAGCTCCTGTAAAGTTCCAAGTAAAAAGAACAATTCAGACCTCTGGGCTGTTAAAACACTACATTTAATTTCCAATGAACTACCTTTCATTCTATAACAAAAAAATTGTAAACAGAATAGAAGTTCTCATTAAAACACAACCAGTAGAAGATTTAGGTGTGACGTTGCAATGACTACAAGATCATATTTATCAGAGTACACTTGGTTATAGATGTGAGAGATTCTTTGATCTTCCTCATCCCTGTTTAGTACTGGCCCTTTACAGTGTATACAAACCTTTTAGGGTGAATGGTCAAGAAGGCCATGTAGATATGCCACAGCAGGCCAGTACTAAACATGGATGGAGGGGAATATAGATTCTTCCATATCTATGACCAAGTTTGCAAATCAAGACAGGTATTTCAATTGTTTTATACCTGGCTATTTACAGTAATTTAATTTATATACCATCAATTTGAAATATTGTCTAGAATTCAGCAGAATATCACAGAATATCACAAAAAAAATGATCTTATTAAATGACCAAAAAAATCTTAAAATTTGATTAAAATAGAAAGCATTAAGAATGAATGTCAGCTAGCAATTATATCTCTATCATTTCATCCTACAATATGGCTTAGACCAGCCACCTGTGTCTAGTGGAGGATCTAGCCTTTAGTACATCAACATAATCTTTACTAATGACATTTCTATAAATTTTACCGAAACTAAAATAATATATGATAAATGTTCCCAACTATATACTATCAAACAGAGAAACCAGCAATTGTTCATTTATTGATCAGCATTTTAATGTAAATCAATTTACAATCTAGAGCATAAGAATAATTTATTAACTGATGTTTTCAACTTTGGCAAGTTCATCACCCAAAGCTCATGTGGAATACATATAGCTATAAATAGATTTCTCAGACATCACCAATTCAATTTTTCTGTTTATCCAAATGTAACCCTGGTAAATACTACCCATAGTTGCTATGCTAGGGAGAACTCCTCTTTAGCTTGATCATTTGAGCATCAGACTAGTAAACTTGGGGTCAAAGGTTCAAATGCTAGCAGAGGAAACAAATAATGACCTCTGTTACATTGGCACCCATGTAGGGACTTCAGAATAATACTAAGTGCTACATTCACAAGCATCTTTGTAAACTCTGGAAACTCAAGACAAGTTATTCTCTGGAGGGGGAGTATGTAACCCTGGTTAAATACTCCTCAGATAGAGAGAATTTCTCTTATGATCGTTTGGTTGAGCATCAGATGAGTGAGCTAGGGTCCCAATAATGACCTCTGTTACGTTGACACCTGTGTTGGGACTCAGTAATATTACTTAGCATTACTTTCACTAGCAGTGATGTAACCCCTGAGAAAATGTCAGTACTGAACACCGATTACATTATGATTACTTTACTATTTTAAATTTCAATGAAACATTTGTAAGCCAGCAATTCTTTTTCAGCTGCCTCCAAAAATATAATTTTGAATTTGTGTATGCTATAAAGATTATACTATTTTTGAGGGGTTTTCTTATGAAATAACATTGCAGTTTGACAAAATGTTTACCTGAGTTATTTATTTTTTTACTCTTTCCATGTAAAATGAAGATGAATGTTTGCTTTGTAATAACAGACACAATTTCTTTATTCATAATTCAGCGCTCAGTTTGTTTTTTGATAATTTACATTTGGGACAATCACAATTGGAGGCCTGAAGTATCAGTTTCAATTGATGTTTAAGTGTATCACATTGGAAAACTATACCATGTAAAATACACAGGTTTGCTATTACCAAAACCTCCAGGTATAGAAACATTGATTGGTACCCTCTATAACATTAGACAGTGCTGTAAGCTATTAAAATAGCTTAACTTTGTAATTACAATTTTGTACTTCACCCAAAAGTTCATCAGACTGTGGTTAATACCAGATTATCCTATTAGAATTTTAAGGATTGCATTCAAATATCGATTTCGTGTTACTCATTTATAATTGGTCTATAATTGATATTACACCAATGTATGTAATACAAAGTATGGCTTCTTTGGAAAATTAATTTAAGCTATTAAAATTTTGAATTTAGTAATTACTTACATTTTTATTACTGGTGTTTAATTGTACGGTCAATACTGTAACTAAAAATCACTTCTAGTTTAGTCTTACCTTATCGACACCATCTGTATTTGCATCTACTTTCTTTTTAAGCTGCATATATTGCCACATTTCTGAGATAGGTCTGTCAGACCTATCTATCAGGTCGCTATTTGACGGAATTGAATTCAACTGTTCCATCTGCATGCTCAATTTTGCAACTTTCAGCTCAAGTTGATGGTAAGGAGTACCGCTTGTTTTGCCGCTTTCACTTGTGCCATCCTCAGAATATGTGGAAATACCACTATCCAAGTCACTTAGACTTGACTTCTCACGTCGTGACAATAAATCTAATTCATTTAATTCCGCAGTTGAATCAGTTATTTTCAGTTTCTTCAACATCGCATGAAGCAATGAATGAAGAACGTTGAAGTTTACAGCCCCTATTTCTGGTGTACCCAGGGCTAGATCAACCATTTGTGGTAACAACACTTTTGTCGGCATCTTGGCTGATTCTGTAACCGACGAGCGACAGCCGGAAAGTATAAAAGAGTTTTAACACTCCAGTCAGCAGTTAAATGTCCTGGATCACATCGTTACCCAAACCATCAGTATAGACCATGATTTACTCTTTACTGTTTACAGTAGGAATAAGATTATTGCGCCGTAACTTCCGGTCAAAAGAATATGAAATAAGTACAAGTCATTAAATATCATCTGTAAACATAAATACAAATTATCAAATGATATGGATAAAATTTCAGTCAAGGTTTTCCAGAAGAAATCACATTGAAAATGTTGCAAGGCCTATACATATCGCGAACTATGTTTTAGTGAAGCGGTGCTTTGACGCATTGACTGTCGTTGCTCATGACAACATAAAGCTGAAGAGCTTACTTTTGTACCGCAGAACACGTGATGCGTTAACTTCAGAAAACCAGCGTTTAACGTGAAATAATTTTTAAAATAATACCTTGTAGTCAAACTTGATAGTACTGTTCACCTAGCACTCACATCATGAACCAGAACGTGTTATTTAGCGCGACGCAATAGGTACATAATTAAATGCAAGGGAGGTGACTCGTCATTACATACATCACAGTACCTGAGAAAACGGATGAACTGTATAAAGAATATCCAAACGACAATCAGTTTGAACTAACTACACACAGATTAGAAACACATGTATCTATACCGTAAACTTCGCCATGCCAGTACAAAGAAAACATTACTTTCTTATTTTCTTCAAAATAAAAATGGAAAATTCACTTTGTGTCGGAAAACTTTCTGAAATATTTTTGTTTTCAACTATTTTTTTAGCAGGCCTTTTACATTGCTGATTGTTGATATTTTTTAATCGGCGGGACAAGTTAAACCGAAAGCATATATGTCTTTCTCTCTCTCTCTCTCTCTATCTCTCTCTCTCTCTCTCTCTCTCTCTCTCTCTCTCTCTCTCTCTCTCTCTCTCGTTTGTTTTTTCATTTTCTTTTTCTTCACTTATGACGTGTGCCCAATCGATAGAAAGACATGTTTTTATCGCTCCACCGAAAAAAATTATAAAAAGAGAAATGCATCTACATAGCCAGTAAAGTCATGATCTTGACGTAAAAAATAGGTTTATGCTCGGAAACTGACTTCGATACGTCGGAAAGATGAAATAACTTACCCCATCTTTACCAATGATTAGGGAAGCTCAAAAATGAAACATAAAAGTCGGATTCGTTTCATATATCTGATATCAAAAGGTAAAGAATTAAACGCCATTTTATCATATGGACATTTGATAGGCTTGGTTGGTTGACAGGTTTTTCGTGACTCCTCCCGTGTTCGGGTATCGTCTCGTCGACGAACGCCAGTGTTCTGGCGACATGGTTCGGCGACCTGCATCCTCCTCACTGGGATGGAACCGTCTGTAGCTGTGATCATTTGATTATACTAGTCTTAGAAGACGGCTCCAGGGCCTAATATTGCCTTGACCTAACTCTAGCCGTTAGAGCATGTCAGAAGTCTCAGAGGGATCTTTAGCGCGCGAGAGTGGACAATTCCACACGAGCCACCGTTTAAAGTCCCATCTGCCGGAGTATAGATTGTTGTTAGTGCGTTGCAGGTGAAATTATAATTAACATTATAATTAACACTTGTATTTTTGTTGTCACGCCTTGAAAACCTTTCCAGTCATATTGTCTAAGCTTCTTCATCACTTTACAAAATGTCTATTGCTTTCTGCGATTCCACTCCATTCCTTCTGCATATATCTGTTCACTACGAGGACTTTTAAAGTTATATTATTGTGTGATTTTTGTGCTGATTTAGAAGGGTTATGATAGGTTTCGGCATGATAAGTTAAGTTGAAGAGGAAAGTGTTGTGATAGACTAAGATAGATTTAATATTTTGGAGACAGATAGATCATGTTTTTTATGTGTTTAGTAAGAATAGTGAGTTAATTCTAACTAGTTACATTTGAGTATAGATAGAGAGCGATTAAGTTGTCTAATCTAAACTACATACTATTATATACAACCCGCAATTTGTGTAGAAGTACTATTTAAATAGGGTTTGAGATAGGGTGGTAGTGGGGTATGGTGACGGGGGAGGTCTTGTATTCTGTTTATTTGGTTTGTATGTTTGTGTGTTGTATTGTATGTGTAGTTGTGTGTTGAGTTTAATTATATTAGATTTTAGATTTCGAGTTTTTAGAGCCCATACCCAGGGTTGAATAAACAGTTGTGTATATTAATTATCGAGAACTGTTTATCCCTATTGTCCTAACTCGCAGGGTTCCATATGCTACAAGCCAGGGTACAAGACCCGAATCTGACTGCAAACCAGTCCATGACCGTTGTGCCCGGAGGTTCCCATTATGCTTAAACTTTACTGGCCGTCGGGCCTTAAATGAGGACGTTGTTTGTGTATTTTTTCTTTCTATTTAATCATTTTTTAACAAATATTTGAAGGAGCGTGTTTACTTCTGTGTGTTGTTTTATTTATTTGTACGGTTTCAGATTATTTAACAAATGTGAATGTTGGGGTGGGGCACAGTGGAGGACACCAAATACCTCATGAGGTATCAGAATGTATCAATAAATGAGAGGGATAGTAGTAATTATCTCTGGTACACTCTCCCTGGCTATCCTGAGGATCCTACCTGTTGTGTATGATGTTGTGTAGGTTTGTGATGTTTGGGAGTTGCCTCCCTTCGGCCTTTCTGGTGTTTTTTTTTTTTTTATATATATTTAGTCTAAGTAGTCAATTTTTCTCAGGAATTCAACTAGCGGTCAATGCAATAGTCTTTCATTTTCACGTGATTTCAAAATCTGTTTGATTGATATATTTTTATTATTTTAAATTCGGCAATGATATCTTTTCTTTCCTGATCGAATCTGTTGCAATATAGAAACAAGCAAATTCATGGAATGTATATCCCCCGCTTTCCAAACATATTGTAAGTAAATTCTTAGGTAGGGTAGGAGCAAACATTTCATAATGCTTTGTAGATTACTGAGCCCTATCACACATTCGGCTGAGCCCTTAATATGCTGAATCCTGTTGCTAAGTTTGATAACTTTTAAAATAATTGGAAAGAAATTTACCAGTAAAAACATTGTTTTTCTTTATAAATATATGGATCCTAACTCTGGTGCTAAGTTTAATGATAAACTGATAATATTTGTGGGACTTCTAGATACATCTAAATCAGATTATATTTAGGAAAGTTAGAGCACAAAAACTGACCGATCAATGGAATGAAAGGATACCTAATTAGTATGTATAGATATTAACAGACGATGCTAATTGCTGAACTCAGTCTTATGTGCCCTAATATGCATCTGCTGCTGACCAAGTTTCATCTAAATCGGATTATATTTAGGGAAGTTAGAGCACGGAAAAGAGCCGACCAATGAAATCAAAGGATACCTCATTAGTATGCATAATCATTAACAGATGACACTGATAGTCAAACTCAGTCTTAATGACCCAAAGATGCATCTGCTAACCAAGTTTCACCCAAATTGGATGATATTTTGGGAAGTTAGAACACGGAAACGAAATTGTGACAGACAGACAGACGGACGGACGGACGAACCCAAATTAATATCCCCCGGTTCGGTGAAAGCGGGGGATAAAAATGTTATATATTGTCTCTTCTGTTCTACGATTCGTACAGTCTGGTGAGATATGTTTAACCATATGATATACACGTTGAAATACGCACACAGTCATAGCATTCTATTCTAATCCTGAAGATAGGGAGAGTTCAAGGTACAAATTTCAGATACCTATACGTCGGTGTAGTGATGGAGCGCTGGAATGGACATGTAGCCCTTATCACGGGTGCTTCGGTCGGCATAGGAGCTGCTATCGCCAGAAAACTTATCCAATATGGCATGAAAGTTATTGGCTGTGCGCGAAACGTACAGAAAGTTCAGGTAAGTTAGATCTAGGCCTCGGCCTAAGATGATACATGATATATCTAAGATAATTTAGTGTTAGAGAAGCAACTTGTACACAAATAATAATGATAATAATTTTTGTTCGTTTTTCTTCTCAAAGCATTATCTTTTTTTAAAAAAAAAATCACACGCACACATTTGGAAGGCTTCATGAAAATATCATACCGATGGAGATCCGATATATTTAAAGATATGAATTATTCTCGAATTTCCAGGGATCGGATAGGTCGGGTATAAATCATTCCATTTTTTCCCAAATGCTTTCTTCCCTTCTTACAGTGAAAAGTACTTAAAAGTAAATTAAGCAACAACTTATTTTTCAACTTTTCTTGATTAATCACTTTCGATGTCCTGAACTGAAGTGAGCTAGTGGTCTTACTGTTGGAGGCAACCTGACTTCTTGCGTCCTCGATAATCTAGTGGCCTGGGACATGTCAAATTACTTCACTTCTGCCTTCGATTTCGCTATGAAATCATAGCGAAATCGAAGGCAGAAGTGAAGTAATTTGACTTGTCTGGGGCGGGTTTCAGCAAACCTTACTAATCACAGGCTGACACGCTCCTTTGAAGGAGCGACAGCCAAATATAAAGCCATTACAACATACCGTTTTGCGACCACGAAAACGATTGTCTTTTTTGCAAAATAGGTACAACACATTATCTAATTAGACGTTATTATTTTATAGTTTTTGTCTGTTTCAAATAAAAAATGTCTGTACATGTTTTTGACATATTTGTTTACAGTTTACAGTACTTTCAAGTAGTTTCACCTAAGAAGGCACCGGCCGTCGACGCGCCATTGCAATTATTCAAATAAAAGTGACACGAGTGAATTTGATCACATTTAGCGATAAACCATTTTCCATTTGTTGACTTTCTAAATTAAATTTCGTTCGGTACACTGTAATATTATTTTGGTTGTCGTGGAATCACGTTTGGTGACGAGACATCGCAAACTTGAATTGGTTGCTACTTTTTATCAGGTACACCTATCATAAACTACATACAAAACTTTGAATAAACACATTTAAATAATTTTTAAAAGTCTATGCATCAAAGATGTAGTAAAACTACCACTCATCTAACCTTCGCTTCGTTTCCGTTTGTTTCTATAACATCAGCTAATGATCATGTTTGAATGTCATAAATGACGTCACATTATTGTCTCGACAGTGTCCACTCGTCAATCGTTGTAAGACAGAGAGGTCATGAAAATACATTTGTTAACATCTTTCTCGTTGAAATCGTTTTATAAGATCGATATCACGAGTGTTCCGTCAATATTGATATTCAAGTGTAATAACAGATAAGGGTCATTATTCTGTATATAAGGGACATTGCTATACCGTAATATTTGTTCATACACAGGACCTAGCCGATGAGTTAAAGACAGAGAAGGGTTCTCTAACGGCCATTAAATGTGATGTCTCCAAGGAGGATGAGATGCTGGCCATGTTCGCGAAGGTCAAGGCTGACTTTGGAGGCGTGGACATTTGTGTCTGCAATGCCGGCCTGTCCCACGACGCCCCCATTCTGACCGGCGATACACAACAATGGAGGGAGATGTTGGACGTAGGTATATGTACTAAATGTCTCAAGGAATCAGCTGTTAGATAAAATTGTTTGTTGTCACACGTTGTGTTACTGGATCTTTGTAGCCATGACAACTGAACTTAGTTACATCAAGGCCATCGATATAAATCTAAGCCCGTGGTTACATGTATAGGGTTTCTTTTAGCGTTTCTTATATATATGATTGTCACCTGACATTATACAATCATATGTGTACTGGTAATTTTGTCACAGAAAAGCTAACCATCAACCAAAATGATACCTTAATACTCCTTTCAGCACAAGTGACTATTAATTAGCTTGGTCACTTTAAACTCAGGTGAATGTACTTGGCCTGGCAATATGCTCCAGAGAGGCTGTCAAACAGATGAGAGAGAGAAAGGAGTGGATGATGGTCACCTCGTTCTTCTCAATAGGTACAGATAGTGTGTTGTGATGTTATTCAATAACAATAATGCGCATTGACATGTTATTATAAAATGTACAATAGTACGTTTACTGTAACTGATGCGGTATTATACAATATACAATAGTACGTTTACTGTAACTGATGCGGTATTATACAATATACAATAGTACGGATACTGTAACTGACGCGGTATTATATAATATACAATAGTACGTTTACTGTAACCGACGCGGTTTTATACAATATACAATAGTACGTTTACTGTAACTGACGTGGTTTTATACAATAAACAATAGTACGTTTACTGTAACTGGCGTGGCTTTATACAATATACAATAGTACGTTTACTTTAACTGATGCGGTATTATACAATATACAATAGTACGGATACTGTAACCGACGCGGTTTTATACAATATACAATAGTACGTTTACTGTAACTGACGTGGTTTTATACAATAAACAATAGTACGTTTACTGTAACTGGCTTGGCTTTATACAATATACAATAGTACGTTTACTTTAACTGATGCGGTATTATACAATATACAATAGTACGGATACTGTAACTGACGCGGTATTATACAATATACAATAGTACGTTTACTGTAACTGACGCGGTATTATACAATATACAATAGTACGTTTACTGTAACTGATGCGGTATTATACAATATACAATAGTACGGATACTGTAACTGATGCGGTATTATACAATATACAATAGTACGTTTACTGTAACTGACGCGGTATTATACAATATACAATAGTACGGATACTGTAACTGACGCGGTATTATACAATATACAATAGTACGTTTACTGTAACTGACGCGGCTTTATACAATATACAATAGTACGGATACTGTAACTGACGCGGTATTATATAATATACAATAGTACGTTTACTGTAACTGACGCGGTATTATATGATATACAATAGTACGTTTACTGTAACTGACGTGGTTTTATACAATATACAATAGTACGTTTACTGTAACTGACGCGGTATTATATGATATACAATAGTACGTTTACTGTAACTTACGCGGTTTTATACAATATACAATAGTAAGGATACTGTAACTGACGCGGTATTATACAATAGTACGTTTACTGTAACTGACGCGGTATCATTCAATATATAATAGTAAGGATACTGTAACTGACGCGGTATTATATGATATACAATAGTACGTTTACTGTAACTGATGCGGTATTATACAATATACAATAGTACGGATACTGTAACTGACGCGGTATTATATGATATACAATAGTACGTTTACTGTAACTGACGTGGTTTTATACAATATACAATAGTACGTTTACTGTAACTGACGCGGTATTATATGATATACAATAGTACGTTTACTGTAACTTACGCGGTTTTATACAATATACAATAGTAAGGATACTGTAACTGACGCGGTATTATACAATATACAATAGTACGTTTACTGTAACTGACGCGGTATCATTCAATATACAATAGTAAGGATACTGTAACTGACGCGGTATTATATAATATACAATAGTACGGATACTGTAACTGACGCGGTTTTATATAATATACAATAGTACGTTTACTGTAACTGACGCGGTTTTATACAATATACAATAGTACGTTTACTGTAACTGGCGTGGCTTTATACAATATACAATAGTACGTTTACTGTAACTGACGCGGTTTTATGTAATATACAATAGTACGTTTACTGTAACTGATGCGGTTTTATACAATATACAATAGTACGTTTACTGTAACTGACGCGGTATCATTCAATATACAATAGTACGTTTACTGTAACTGATGCGGTTTTATACAATATACAATAGTACGTTTACTGTAACTGGCGTGGCTTTATACAATATACAATAGTACGTTTACTGTAACTGACGCGGTTTTATATAATATACAACAGTACGTTTACTGTAACTGATGCGGTTTTATACAATATACAATAGTACGTTTACTGTAACTGACGCGGTATCATTCAATATACAATAGTAAGGATACTGTAACTGACGCGGTTTTATATAATATACAATAGTACGTTTACTGTAACTGACGCGGTTTTATATAATATACAATAGTACGTTTACTGTAACTGACGCGGTTTTATATAATATACAATAGTACGTTTACTGTAACTGACGCGGTTTTATATAATATACAATAGTACTTTTACTGTAACTGACGCGGTTTTATATAATATACAATAGTACGTTTACTGTAACTGACGCGGTTTTATATAATATACAATAGTACGTTTACTGTAACTGACGCGGTTTTATATAATATACAATAGTACGTTTACTGTAACTGATGCGGTTTTATACAATATACAATAGTACGGATACTGTAACTGACGCGGTTTTATACAATATACAATAGTACGTTTACTGTAACTGGCGTGGCTTTATACAATATACAATAGTACGTTTACTGTAACTGACGCGGTTTTATGTAATATACAATAGTACGTTTACTGTAACTGATGCGGTTTTATACAATATACAATAGTACGTTTACTGTAACTGACGCGGTATTATTCAATATACAATAGTACGTTTACTGTAACTGATGCGGTTTTATACAATATACAATAGTACGTTTACTGTAACTGGCGTGGCTTTATACAATATACAATAGTACGTTTACTGTAACTGACGCGGTTTTATATAATATACAATAGTACGTTTACTGTAACTGATGCGGTTTTATACAATATACAATAGTACGTTTACTGTAACTGACGCGGTATCATTCAATATACAATAGTAAGGATACTGTAACTGACGCGGTTTTATATAATATACAGTAGTGCGTTTACTGTAACTGACGCGGTTTTGTACAATATACAATAGTACGTTTACTGTAACTGGCGCGGTTTTGTACAATATACAATAGTACGTTTACTGTAACTGGCGTGGCTTTATACAATATACAATAGTACGTTTACTGTAACTGACGCGGTTTTATATAATATACAATAGTACGTTTACTGTAACTGATGCGGTTTTATACAATATACAATAGTACGTTTACTGTAACTGGCGTGGCTTTATACAATATACAATAGTACGTTTACTGTAACTGACGCGGTTTTATATAATATACAATAGTACGTTTACTGTAACTGATGCGGTTTTATACAATATACAATAGTACGTTTACTGTAACTGATGCGGTTTTATACAATATACAATAGTACGTTTACTGTAACTGGCGTGGCTTTATACAATATACAATAGTACGTTTACTGTAACTGACGCGGTTTTATATAATATACAATAGTACGTTTACTGTAACTGATGCGGTTTTATACAATATACAATAGTACGTTTACTGTAACTGATGCGGTTTTATACAATATACAATAGTACGTTTACTGTAACTGGCGTGGCTTTATACAATATACAATAGTACGTTTACTGTAACTGATGCGGTTTTATACAATATACAATAGTAAGGATACTGTAACTGACGCGGTATTATACAATATACAATAGTACGTTTACTGTAACTGACGCGGTATCATTCAATATACAATAGTAAGGATACTGTAACTGACGCGGTATTATATAATATACAATAGTACGGATACTGTAACTGACGCGGTTTTATATAATATACAATAGTACGTTTACTGTAACTGACGCGGTTTTATACAATATACAATAGTACGTTTACTGTAACTGGCGTGGCTTTATACAATATACAATAGTACGTTTACTGTAACTGGCGTGGCTTTATACAATATACAATAGTACGTTTACTGTAACTGACGCGGTTTTATATAATATACAACAGTACGTTTACTGTAACTGATGCGGTTTTATACAATATACAATAGTACGTTTACTGTAACTGACGCGGTATCATTCAATATACAATAGTAAGGATACTGTAACTGACGCGGTTTTATATAATATACAATAGTACGTTTACTGTAACTGACGCGGTTTTATATAATATACAATAGTACGTTTACTGTAACTGACGCGGTTTTATATAATATACAATAGTACGTTTACTGTAACTGACGCGGTTTTATATAATATACAATAGTACTTTTACTGTAACTGACGCGGTTTTATATAATATACAATAGTACGTTTACTGTAACTGACGCGGTTTTATATAATATACAATAGTACGTTTACTGTAACTGACGCGGTTTTATATAATATACAATAGTACGTTTACTGTAACTGATGCGGTTTTATACAATATACAATAGTACGGATACTGTAACTGACGCGGTTTTATACAATATACAATAGTACGTTTACTGTAACTGGCGTGGCTTTATACAATATACAATAGTACGTTTACTGTAACTGACGCGGTTTTATATAATATACAATAGTACGTTTACTGTAACTGATGCGGTTTTATACAATATACAATAGTACGTTTACTGTAACTGACGCGGTTTTATACAATATACAATAGTACGTTTACTGTAACTGGCGTGGCTTTATACAATATACAATAGTACGTTTACTGTAACTGGCGTGGCTTTATGTAATATACAATAGTACGTTTACTGTAACTGATGCGGTTTTATACAATATACAATAGTACGTTTACTGTAACTGACGCGGTATCATTCAATATACAATAGTACGTTTACTGTAACTGATGCGGTTTTATACAATATACAATAGTACGTTTACTGTAACTGGCGTGGCTTTATACAATATACAATAGTACGTTTACTGTAACTGACGCGGTTTTATATAATATACAATAGTACGTTTACTGTAACTGATGCGGTTTTATACAATATACAATAGTACGTTTACTGTAACTGACGCGGTATCATTCAATATACAATAGTAAGGATACTGTAACTGACGCGGTTTTATATAATATACAGTAGTGCGTTTACTGTAACTGACGCGGTTTTGTACAATATACAATAGTACGTTTACTGTAACTGGCGCGGTTTTGTACAATATACAATAGTACGTTTACTGTAACTGGCGTGGCTTTATACAATATACAATAGTACGTTTACTGTAACTGACGCGGTTTTATATAATATACAATAGTACGTTTACTGTAACTGATGCGGTTTTATACAATATACAATAGTACGTTTACTGTAACTGGCGTGGCTTTATACAATATACAATAGTACGTTTACTGTAACTGACGCGGTTTTATATAATATACAATAGTACGTTTACTGTAACTGATGCGGTTTTATACAATATACAATAGTACGTTTACTGTAACTGATGCGGTTTTATACAATATACAATAGTACGTTTACTGTAACTGGCGTGGCTTTATACAATATACAATAGTACGTTTACTGTAACTGACGCGGTTTTATATAATATACAATAGTACGTTTACTGTAACTGATGCGGTTTTATACAATATACAATAGTACGTTTACTGTAACTGATGCGGTTTTATACAATATACAATAGTACGTTTACTGTAACTGATGCGGTATTATACAATATACAATAGTACGTTTACTGTAACTGATGCGGTTTTATATAATATACAATAGTACGTTTACTGTAACTGACGCGGTTTTATACAATATACAATAGTACGTTTACTGTAACTGACGCGGTATCATTCAATATACAACAGTACGTTTACTGTAACTGACGCGGTTTTGTACAATATACAGTAGTGCGTTTACTGTAACTGACGCGGTTTTGTACAATATACAATAGTACGTTTACTGTAACTGTAGCGGTATCATTAAATATACAATAGTAAGGATACTGTAACTGACGCGGTTTTATATAATATACAGTAGTGCGTTTACTGTAACTGACGCGGTTTTGTACAATATACAATAGTACGTTTACTGTAACTGGCGCGGTTTTGTACAATATACAATAGTACGTTTACTGTAACTGGCGCGGTTTTGTACAATATACAATAGTACGTTTACTGTGTGTTAAGACTGTTACTTTCTGTCGCCAATATTTTGAATACTTTTAAGTACTTATATATTATTTTTAACTTTTGCTCTCTGCTTTGTAGTATGTCTGGTCATCGAATTATCCACAGTAGTCCTGAACATTTCTACACTGCTACCAAGTTCATGGTTACGGCATTGACGGAATGTCTGAGACAGGAACTCAATGACCTCAAATCACACATCAGGGTCACGGTACGTACAGATGTAACTCGCATCATATGATGTCAAATGTATCACAGGATGATGTCACAATGTCACGTGACTCCCATAAACGTTAAAGCTGTTACATGATGTCACGGTAATTTCTATTGAGGTCATTCATATTGTTTATTGTCACAGCTGTAACATAAAACGTGTTAGGAGTTCAGCTTAGCTTGGTTTGCTGGGTCGGTTGGTTGCAAGTTTTCCATCCTCCTCCTCCTAATATCAGACGTTGTCTCACCTGGCGACGAGCGGTGTTCTAGCGAAGTCAAACATTGTAACCTTCGTAAAGGTAACAATAGTTCATATGTGTCATAAAGTACAATAACTCGCACTAAAGCATGTGACATGTACGTCGAGAGTCTGCCCACCTTGATCACAATGTACTATTACATCTTGGATATCCGAGACCTTGATAAAGGTCACAATGTTAAAGGAGTTCTGTACGAAAGTATCGAAGCACTGTGTCCAGTCACTTGATACTTGTAGGATGTCCGCAGATATACATGAAGACCAGACATGAACTGATACATGTCGGGGTTCTAGCGACCTTGATAAAGGTCACATTCACCGATTTAGTATTTAATACCCGAAACATATCAGAAATCACGCGACCTTGATAAACTGAGTCACAATGTATTGCGTCTTCAGTGAAGTCCAGCTTCAGAATCTATTTTTGCGTTTATTGATTTTGATTAAATTGAGCAACAAAATGTAAATGTAATAAGACTTTAGGGACAATGTCACGTGTCTACCAGTGACCAATCAGTTTCCACCATTGGATAATTGAATATGCACACTCAGTTATATAAAGATTTCATACTTTATTTCAGAGTATCAGTCCCGGTGTAGTCCGAACGGAGATCGTAGCTAGGATGTTCAAGGACAAGAGCAAGGAGGAAGAGATATATACTGCATTTAAGGTATCAATGCTATAGTAGCTGTACTAATGTGTATAACAGGAAATGACGAATTAAACAGGAAATCATGAATAACTATTTTCTGTTGCAAATGCTTGTTAAACACCTAAAATGAACTTTATCACCAGTAATGCCTTAATGGGTCAATAAAGGTTATAACAATGACTGTATTATATGTTATAGACGATGGAACCTGATGATGTGGTAGACGCCATTGTTTATGCTGTAAACAGTCCAGGACACGTTCAGGTATATCACTCGCCTTCTAGGACCTTGCGCATAAATCAAGCACCATCGCATGCTTATAATTCTTTGTACATGTATTTATCAAGCAAACTTTAATTTAGTTCCGGTGTAAATAGAAGTACTCGGCACACAATAGTATACACGAAGGTGTGGATTAGGTTTACTCGTTTTAATGTGCGCGAGAGTGTGAATTATGTTTACACTTTCACACGAGTGATATACTAGGCTTACACGAATGTGTGGATTAGGTTTACACGTAAAAGACGCGAATCAATTTGTACACAAAGGTTGATTAAGTTTACACGTGACATAGTACACGAATGTGTAGGTTAGATTTACACATCAGTTATCGAGGTTTGGGTCTGCTTTACACGTCAGTACACACAGTTGTGGACCAGATAATTCATGTGGATTAAATCTACATGTCAAGGATGTTGGTTATATTCACACGTCAGTACACAAATGAGTTGGTTATTTTTACACGTCACTACACAAAAGAGTTGGTATATTTTTACACGTCAGTACACAAAGGAGTTGGTTATTTTTACACGTCAGTACACAAAAGAGTTGGTTATTTTTACACGTCAGTACACAAAGGAGTTGGTTATTTTTACACGTCAGTACACAAAGGAGTTGGTTATATTTACACGTCAGTACACAAAGGAGTTGGTTATATTTACACGTTAGTACTAGAGATTCCACTTAGATTAGGTTTACATGATAGTACACGAAAGGGTGAGATTCATTTACACGTTTATACACAATGGTGTGAATAAGTAGAAATAATGAGGTTTGTGTTACAGGTGCATGATATATTCCGGCCAACGGAGCAGCGATTGTAAAGGAACTGGATTTCACAAGATTGTTATACAATAGTATTTTGGTATTGGACTCGGTCCTACCTAAATTTCTAATGGAAGTTATATGGACCAGTGTATCAGTCTTAAAGTGCTTAGAGAGGACTTTTACTACACATAGGAAAGTCGTATTTCTTACCAAAGAAATCCATCTTTTGGAGTGATCTTTCCCTGGAACTGCACCCTGCAAAGCTAAATAATCAATAACAGGATTTTGAAAAAGCCTTTGATTCTGTGTCTTGGGAGTTTGTAAATAAACTTATGAAATATTTTGGTTTTGGTCCTGATATTCAAAAGTGGGTTAAATTATCTAATACTAATATTACTGCAACTGTAAATCAGAGGGGAAACTTGTCAACTTTTTTTCCACATCAAAAGAGGCTGCCACCAAGGGGACCCAATTTCCCCATACATCTTTGTTCTGTGTGTTGAAATTTTAGGAATAAGGTTAAGAAATAACAAGAAGATTAAGGTCGTAGATGTAGGTAACCTTCACATTCTAATTTCTCAGTATGCTGATGATACCACACTGATACTTAATGGCTCTGAAATTTCCTTAAAGGAATCCATTATTGAATTAAACACATTTGCAAAAATCTCTGGCTTGAAATTGAATGTTGATAAAACACAGGTTATTTGGATAGGGAACAAAACTTATAGTGATGAAACCTTTTTACCAGAGTTGAATCTGCAGTGGGGAAGAACTAAATTTACATTGCTTGGAATTGAGTTTAGTGTGAATCTGCATGAAATTCCCAAGTTAAATTTTGATAAAAAGTTAATTAAGTTAAAATCACTAATAAAGACATGGAGCAGAAGAATACTCACGCCTATTGAGAGAATAACCCTAATCAAGTCACTCTTATTATATCAATTTAATCACTTATTTACCTCTCTACCTACTCCTAATGAACAGTTTCTTCAAGAGCTCAACACTATCCTTTTTAACTTTCTTTGGAAGAGTAAAGTAGACAAAGTAAAGAGAGATATCATAACACAAAATTATTCAGAAGGGGGTCTGAAAATGGTAAATGTAAAATTATTTATTGATTCTTTGAAACTTAGTTGGGTAAGACGGTTGTTAAAAAAGACATGCAAGTGGCAAATTATTTTTAATTCACACAATGATTTACAAAAGTTATCTGTATGTGGTAGTGAGTATATGGATGAATGGCAAGAAAAATGTAAGAATAAATTCTGGAAAGACGTTTTTAGAGCATGGAAAAAATTAAATGATACTGATTGTGCTAGGGAAAAAATAGGAAGGCTAACATGTTCACTGGCATGTTTTTATAGCATGGAAAAAAAATTAAATGATACTAATTGTGCTAGGGAAAAAATAGGAAGGCTAACATGTTCACTGGCATTACCATTGGAGGAAAAACAGTTTTTTACAAGTCCTGGTATGATAGAGGTGTAACCATAATTAATGATTTAGTAAAAGATTTTGGTACAGTCAGTTTCTATACATTTCAGAGAAGTATCATATCAACGTAAACTTCCTTCAATATCAGGGTGTAATATCAGCTGTCAAAACAGGAGGCTGAATGTCGAGAACCAGTTGTTAATTTATCCAATTATCCCTAATAATATATTACTTTTTATGGAAAATGATGAAAGGACAAAGAATTTTTATAATGTTATGGTCAAAAATGATATTATCTCAATTGGTAGGAGAAAATGGGAAGAATAATTTGAAGATTTTGAATTAGATTGGACAAATATATATTACAATCCTTTCAAGGCCACTGAAAACACAAAATTACAATGGTTTTAATATAGGATTGTTCAGAATATTTTAACAACAAATTCGTTTTTATTTAAAATAGGATTAGTAAATAATCCAATATGTAGTTTATGTAACCTAGAAAGAGAGACTATAATTCATATTTCATGGGAATGCAGAGAAACTCAGAGATTTTTGCAAAGTGTGGAGACACTGTTTGATGCACAGTATATCCCATTTCAGTATAATAAACAAAGCTACCTTTTTGGTGTATTTTGAAATAATAGATGTTCAACAATAAACAGACTAGACAATGCAATATTGATTATTATTAAGTTTTATATTTACAAAACAAGATGTTTTTACATAAAGTTTTAAGTATATATGCTTTAATTAATACAATTAAAGACCATTACATTTTTCAAAAACACATTGCCAATAGTAAAGGCGAAGGTGAACAGCTGAAATGTAAAAATGAATGGAGTAAATGGGAAAAACTTATTGAATTATCAGATAGTTAATTTTTGTTTTACTTTTACTATTTTAACCTAGTGTGACAATTTCTGTTATCATTAATCTATGTATTAAAATATTTACATATTATCTATGTGTAATACAATGTATATATGAATATGATTATTTGTCCCATCTTGAGCTTCTGCAGTTTATCCTATACCATATTGTTAATAATTTAAGCCAGCAGACTAATTATTAAAATGGATGTCTGATCTCCTGTCCATTCATCTCCCTCTCTCTCTCTCTCTGTTTCTTTCTTTCTCTCTCTCCCCCTCTCCCTCCCTCCTTCTCTTTCTGATTTCTAGTATCTTTTTTTTTTGCTGTCTCTCTTATTAAGTTGTAATATGTATGTGAGGGTGTGCATGTGTGTGTGTATGTGTGTGGAAATACTGTATAGATGTTACATCTTAGTGATGTTGATGATACTTATCACAGTGTCTTGATGATGATGATGATGATGATGATGATGATGATGATGATGATGATGATGATGATGATGATGTTGACGTTGATGATGATGATGATGATGATGATGATGATGATGATGATGATGATGATGTTGACGTTGATGATGATGATGACGATGATGATGATGATGACGATGATGATGATGATGATGATGATGATGATGATGATGATCAATTGATGATGAAATGATGATGATGATGATGATGATAGTATTTCAAGGTGATTGTGAGGAAGATGTTAATATTATGTTATGTGTATGAAAATGACAAGGGTGGTGTATGGGTGAAGATGCTGTTGGTAATAAAGATGTACATGTAACCGAAAAGATGTATATAATGTGAATGGTGTATGAAAGGTATTCTTATTATGTAATGCAAAAATGTGTGGGAAAAAAAATAGCAAATATCTGCCGAAGCTAACATCAACCTTGACAACCTACAATCTATAACGCCTCTTGGTGTAGGTTATTGACCTTGAAGTGGTACTTTATCGTATCAGACGAGTTGTTGAGTGGTGGACCTTGATTTGCATGTAGCACAATGACCTACGAAACCTGTACCTGCACACCAGAAAATTACTTGTCGTCTATAAGCCAAATGGACTGCATTCTATGATCATATTTGCCGACATTGAACCATGATTAAAACCATACCTACTGGTCTGAAGGTATTGAACCTTGAAATAGGATAACAACCTACAGAAAACAGTTTGAGATAACATACCAACTTTAGATAAGCAACAACATGTTATTCTTTGGTATCTCAATAGATCGACAACTATCGGACAGTCATTCACTTACAGGGCGAACAAAAGAGGCGAACAAATTTCCCCTTGAAATAATACATTTTTAAAATCTGAATAATCAGACATCCTATTTTACTCAACATTGTACATCCTTACACAGCGGTCTTATTAGTTTCAGCACATTTTATACGATAATGTTTGGTATAATCCACAAATAAAGACGTTTTCCTTTTTTCAACGTACAATTAATTAATGTCTGTAAGGCGTCCACCACTGTAGATGGATTTTATCTAAACCCAAAATGAGCATCTGTTATCGTATGATACTTCATTTGAAATGTTCTATAAAATTGGACTGTATTTAAACAAAGAAACATATATCCTTGTTGACATTTATATTGTCTCTTAAACTTACATTCCGGTTTCTTATGTTGGTTTATCTGGACATGTTCTATCCCTAATGAGATCACCACTTATAGAAACCATAATGTAAATCTTGTATTCCCTATACCTGTTTTTCATAGTGGTTCGAATATGTATTAAAACAAAGAAAACTCTATCAAAACCAACCTTCAGGTTAATGCCTTTCTCCGCTCAATATTGGTTATAGGAAATCTTATCAATTACTTATTGGACCAACATTGAATGTAATATTTACCTCATGGATATCACAGGATATGGAAAGTTCATAACACTTCAAGATTGACCAATGAACAGTATAAATTAAAAAAAAATATGAGTACTTTTGTTGCACTTAAACAATATTTCACCATGCACTGGTTAAAGGCATTGAAATGTTGGACATATTTGCTTTTTAAGTACAAAAATACTATAAACCAAAATCAGTATGATTACTAGCTTATCTTAAAAATATAGAATTATATGTGTCTTCCAGTTTCTGAAACGAGTGATTTTGCTTTCATACAATAAGATTCGTGATCCCTCAAAGATGGCCTGTTGGTATGGTTGTGAGCTATCATAAATCTTAATCAAGCGATATGCTTATTTACTGACAACATACATTTTAATAATATCATAATCAAATGTTTGAAAGTCCTTGCAATTATTTTCTGTGCATATCAATCAAAGCAGAAATATAATTTTGTACGAGACATTCAACTGAATGGTTTCTGGTTGTTAGAATCCCCACCTCATGCAAATTTGACTAATAAATCAGTTATTATGATAATAAAAAAAAGTTAAAAAAAGGAAGTGAGATTGAGTCTGCTGGGATTTGAACGGTTCCCGCAAGGGCGAGGTCAAAATACAAAGTTCACAGGTTGCCTGAACATCGGTGTGATGGAGCGCTGGACAGGACGTGTGGCCCTTATAACGGGTGCTTCGGTTGGAATAGGAGCTGCTCTCGCCAAGAAACTAGTTCAACATGGCATGAAAGTTATTGGTTGTGCTCGAAACGTGCAGAAAATTCAGGTAATAAAAATATTTTCATGATTGAGCTCAATTTTGTATTATGTCTAAGGGAAGCTACTCGTACGAATCTCACAGAAGTTGTTTACCTGCATCACAACTATAGCAAGAAGAAACATACGATATTATTCTTCACAGATATGGGAAAATAGATAAATATTGTAGAAAGAGGAGACACCTTCGATTCCGTGAGATATTTTGAGTACAGTAGAGATAATACTTACGGTACTTCTTCCCAGGCAATATTTTAGAAAGTTATTGTTCCTATAATATATATCAGATGTTAATTAGGACGATCAAAGGAAAATCTGTGATTGGTAATAATTAATTTTAAATATGTTAACACTAAAACTATAAATACACTTTTAATGAATAATTCACCCATTATTGTTTAGAACTATTTATACTAGTCGTAGTTAATTAAGTGTTTATGTTGGACAGGGACGTACAATGCAATATTCTATTGTGTGTAATTGAGTTGGATTTCTAGCTACATGTATAAGGAGAATTTATGTCATGTGACACCACTTATTGCGGAGGTGTGAGAGAGTTTCAATATCAGAAAAAAAACATTTAACATGCATTGTGCATGTAGTCTGTCTACAAATAAAAAAAACGGAAGTGAGCCAAACTGGGAAGGGAAGTAACTCATACAGGTTTGCATTTTCCGCTGAGGGATGTTTTTCGCTAGTTTGTGTACGGAGAAACGACTCAAATATTCAATAATAGTCATAATTATACGTATTTTTACTTTGTTTCTACATCATTAAACTTTCCGTTTGTGTTCTACATATAAACCAGTAATATTAGGTTACAGTACTGAGCTGTTTGTACTGTTAAAAAGCCAGTTAATTATACAGATACTTAATACACGTGTAATAAAAATGAATGTGTTTTTTTTATAGATGAATTAATTATAGAATATATGAATATAAATGGAAAATGATATTGTATGAATTATACAAATAAATATGAATGATGAATAAAGAATACATATATAATTAAAACACAGTACATGTTTACAGTTTTTGAAAAAAAAATGGAAGACAATATAAATGAAAACGCTATTAATACAAATGACGGTGTGGATATTTCTGTCCGATTGTACATATCTTATATACATTACTCTCTATATTCTCTTTGGTGTGTTTACACACAGGACCTAGCCGATGAGTTAAAGACAGAGAAGGGTTCTCTAACGGCCATTAAATGTGATGTCTCCAAGGAGGATGAGATGCTGGCCATGTTCGCGAAGGTCAAGGCTGACTTTGGAGGCGTGGACATTTGTGTCTGCAATGCCGGCCTGTCCCACGACGCCCCCATTCTGACCGGCGATACACAACAATGGAGGGAGATGTTGGACGTAGGTACCTCACGATATCGTGTGAGAGTTGTAGCGGCATAGTAGCTTGTTGTGTGAATATTTGTTTGCCGGTTGGTGAAAACACGTTAGCGTGTTTGTTCACATGATTTACATCACTGTCCTTGAAACACGTTATCGTTACTGGCACTCAATCATGGAGGATGCCACATTGGGTGACCGGTGTAATTATAGCGTAACGGAACGTGTATCTTATATCCTGATAACATTAAAAAATAGTGTAAGGTATATACACATCCAAAACAACAGGTTGAAATTATATCAATATTTTGTATGTTTAGTAATTTTATCAGACCTAATATCTTACGTTATGATAGAAAGAAGTTTGCTTAAATCCTCGTTATTGGTATAATACCATTTGTTATAGTTTTACGCTTATACGCACACAGTTATTCTGCGAAATTCGAATCAGGGCACAGTCGTATTGTGATGTTTACTCAAGAAATGGAATAAATGGTATGTGGATTTTAAAGAACTCGAATCAGATTTTGACCAATCTTAACCACCCTTTTCTAAAACAACTCTTCTATGAAAACATTAGATTTTCCCTCTCTGTACACCAACATACACAATTCAAAAACTGAAAGAACGCCTTTCCTTTTTCTTTTTTAATGATATTTTTCAAGAAAGATGAGTGGCAGTACAAATACATGGTTGTGAACTATACTTAAGCTTATTTCGTGAAAAATACGTCCAAATCGAATTAAAAATATACGGATATCGAAGTCATAAAAATGAACAGGTTTTTGGTGAACACCTTTGTCGAGTGTGGTCATATCGTCCAACAGACTATTGGGATACCTATATTACATGGGAGGTGAAACTGAGCCACTGATGGCTGACTTGTTTTTGTTTTCATACGAGTTGAATTTATCGAAGAGCTTGTCAGAACAGGTCACAAAGACCTTGCAAAGTCCCCCCAATTTCACTTTCAGATAATTGAATACATCTTGTTTAAAAAGAAGAAGAGATATGACCACTTCCATATATATATTCACCAGAACTGGAAGTCAAGGACACGACAGTCTGTTCTAAAATGTGTCAATCTTTCATTTTGTTTATACTTTGTCCTGGTTTTATTTAATTTGAGTTTGGATTATGATTATGTTGGCATGATGCTGTTGTTACGCACATCAAACACTATGTTATTACCCCTTTATATGATTCACTTCAATGTCAGTACACAAAATAAAGAAAATCCTTCTTTTTATATGTTTATTTCCGTGTGGTATAATTCTTATCCCACCATTGATTTTGGGACTGATCAGAGAAAAAAATGGCTGACAGAAGCACAGCTTGGATTTTTTGACTGATCAGGAAAACAAAATTGTTTTTGAGGGAACATCTGGACTTATTCTCCACATTTTTTTTCGAAATTCCCCTGTAAAGCCTCTCTTTCCTCATATTTTGTCCTTTGTTTAATGGAGGTCGGTATTTTCTTTATTCGCACGTGACGTTTGTGTTACTGGATCAGTGTCGCTGGTGATGAAAGTGTAGCTATTCACTGTACATTTACATCTACCGTCTTCTCCCAGTCTTCGTTTTTACATTTTTACTCTTTACATTCTAAAATTGTCCTTTTGAGTTTGTGTGTCATGAAAAAGTGTCTATAACGACCACTACTTAACCGATTTTTAATGCTCAATTCCAAGATCTATATAAAGGAAAAATAATGAATTGCTTAGTTTGGTATCGAAGCACTGAGTTGTAAACAAAATTCAATATTTAACTATTAATTATATATGTTAACAGGTGAATGTGCTTGGCCTGGCAATATGCTCCAGAGAGGCTGTCAAACAGATGAGAGAGAAAGGAGTGGATGATGGTCACCTCATTCTTCTAAACAGGTACAGATACTGTGATTGTGTATTTTTTAAAAGAGACAAGTATGTTGAACTATTGTGTTTCTATCAGTTTGTTGGACTGTTGTGTTTTTGCCGGTGTGTTGTACTGATGTGTTTTGTCGGTGTGTTGTACTGTTGTGTTTTTGTCGGTGTGTTGTACTGTTTGTTTTTATCGGTGTGTTGTAATGTTAAGTTTTTGTCGGTGTGATGTACTGTTGTGCTTTTGTCTGTGTGTTGTACTGTTTGTTTTTATCGGTGTGTTGTACTGTTGTGTTATTGTCGGTGTGTTGTACTGTTGTGTTATTGTCGGTGTGTTGCACTGTTGTGTTTTTGTCAGTGTGTTGTACTGTTGTGTTTTTGTTAGTGTGTTGTACTGTTGTGTTTTTGTCGGTGTGTTGTGTTGTTTTTGTCGGTGAGTTGTAATGTTAAGTTTTTGTCGGTGTGTTGTACTGTCGTGTTATTGTCGGTATGTTAAGACTGTTACTTTCTGTCGCCAATATTTTGAATACTTTTAAGTACTTATATATTATCTTTAACTTTTGCTCTCTGCTTTGTAGTATGTCTGGTCATCGAATTATCCACAGTAGTCCTGGACATTTCTACACTGCTACCAAGTTCATGGTTACGGCCTTGACGGAATGTCTGAGACAGGAACTCAATGACCTCAAATCACACATCAGGGTCACGGTATGTTTAGGTGTGATAGTATTAAATAGCGGTTAACTCATATAATAGGCTATGTGTCCACATATGACAGGGTGATGGCCATTTATCGAGTAGAATGGCCCCACCATCTGTGAGCACTCTTCATGGGATAGGAAAACGTTTTGCTTTTGTTTGCTTGCTTTATGTTTGTTTATAGTTTGAAAGTTAGTAATTATTAAAGGTACTTGAAGCCTTTATACATATGTAGTGGTACAAAGGCAGGGTAACACACACATTCATTTCTGGCCTAAAATGAAATATCTAACTTATCATTTGAAATTTTTCTTTAAAATCTGCACTTAGTATGTTGGTAATCAAAACAACAGATAACCAGATAATTCAGTTGGTTAGGAGATCAGACTCAGACTGGTCGATCTCCATTGCATTGCTTCTTTCGTGTTACATATACAATGTCTTAACTACCCTCTAGAGTATCAGTCCAGGAATGGTTTACACGGAGTTTCAAGGTCGGATGTTCAAGGACATGAGTAAGGGAGACCAGATTTGCACTGCATATAAGGTAAGGTCAGATCTTGAGCCTTCAATTTATTGTAATGTAACCTCATATTGATTCTATCTGAGATAGTATGTTGGACTATGGATTTACCCGTAGTTTATATCGAACCCTTGTGACAGATGTTGTAATACATACTAAAACAAACATTTCTCTAAGTGAATAATTGTTGTGATTAACAATTTCCTTATTTTCTGCATTATCCCATACATGTTGTAGACACTGGAGGCTGGTGATGTAGTAGACGCCATTGTTTATGCTATAGGAACTCCAGGACACGTGCAGGTATATATATTACTTACGTTATTTAGTGTCTTTATGGTATTGTTTGGATCAGAAGCTTCCGTAAATCGTCACCACAGGCGTATGTATTATGTATCTGAAACATGAATTGACCATGATTTGTTACATGTACTTCAGTTCAGAGGTTAAGAAACGATTCTGGTATAAGGAAGGGTATCATTTTGTGTGTTACAGGTACATGATATTTTACTACGTCCTACGGAACAGAGCACGTGAAGGAACAAGATTTCCCCAAGACTCTCGACAACAGTTGTATCTGGGGGAGTGGACACAGAAATCAGCCCTACCTGTAGATGAGCTGATGTTACTAATATATGGGTTATCGTCCTTTAGAACTAAGTACTTGTTGGGAGAGATTATTATCGATCATATAATCAGCGGAACTTGACCAGAACTGCACTTTACATATCTATAACTAAATGTCTGTCAGAGCTTAGACTACAGTATGTAAGTCTTATTTGACTTGTCTGACTTATATGACCTTGACCTGGACCGTTAATGACATGGCTGCTTACTTAAATGGCAGCCGCCAGACATTTTCTCGAATTCGGAAAAAAAATCACGTATTCCTATGTGAGCCATAGACCTGAAACTTCGCTTTACATACTTGTCTGGTGGAGCTGACCTCGGTCTTGACTAGACACTTCGACATGCAATAAATTATGTGGAGCTTCCAATGTTTTCTTTAATACTTTTGTCCTAAAGACTAGATTGTCTGTAGGAACTAGTCTCATGAACTCCAGTCTACTGGCTGATTTTCTAAGGAGTAATAATATTAGACAGACAAGGAAAATTGACCCTATGTACCTTTCTTTTGGAGAAGAATCATAGCTTTTCGGCAGCACTTCAATATCAAATTATGAAATTACTGTTATCAAAATATTACCTATAGGCAAATAAAACATTTTCTATGATTTGAAATTTCGATTGCTTTTCTTTTGTCCATAATAAATTATGGTAAATTCGGATGATACTTCGATATAGTTTTGATAGACATTTCCTACTTTCTCGTTTCTTGGTGGACCAATGGATAATCCCGCAGCTGGCTTAATTTCCAAAGACATTTCAAATCTAGTGGAAATCCTTTACGATAAGTAACTGTGAAGACCAGAAGTTCAATTGGTGAGAGCGTCTGTCTAGAGTTCACAGATACCGAATTGGAAATAAGACAAGCTTCATTGCATTTCTACATTTCGTTAAAATGGTGTCACGTGACTAGGATTCGTACGTTGACCGAACGTTTGAACTTTGGACGGATTTTACTATGGTGAACTAAGCATGCCAGTCTTACATGTGTATTGTTTAGGATAAAAATAAGGTCACAGTGACATGTGTTGTCTTTCAATAGTCATGCGTATGTCCAAAAGAGCGTAGCTCTAGAGTATCTTTCACAGAAAAAAGGCCATCCAGTCGTTCGTTCTGACGTGCATGGATATATTAATGAAGTAGGCACTGCCTGAATTCATAATTTGATCAATAAGGTCACTTTATCATTATATTGTTTTGACCTGTTTTATGGATTCAAATTAAACCTGAACACAAAAGATGTTTATCAGTATGCGAACGTTCCGATGGCATTCCCCTTTAGTAAACTAAGTCGGGTACCTTCGTTATGTAGAGTCCGCGTAAGTATACATATCAAGTATTTGACAACATACGATACCAGCCAGTAATATTTATGATTGTTGTTTATTAGAATTATTAAGTACTTTTAGTATGTCTCTAATTTACATGACGGCAATCCTCGATACTCTGGGGTTACAATCACTTTCGCTCTCTGCACACCCCAGGAACGTGTCGGGTCAAAATTGAAGGCACAGGCGAAGTAATATGATTGGTTCCAGGAGAAAAAGACTGAACCATCATAGGCTGATTCTCTCCTTCGAAGATCACAAAGGAGCGACAACCAGCTTTAAAGCCATTACAATATACCGTTGCGCGACCTCGAGATTCGCATGACGTACATCAAAGAATCAAACTAGTCTTTTCGTCTAGTCTACAAAGTGTCGGACAAGGAACCTTCAATTTTGCCATGACATGTTCCAGGGATGCACAGAGCGAAAGTGGTCTTAACCCTGGAATATCGAGGATGTAGTGATCGTAACCTCTGGAGTATCGAGGATGTAGTGATCGTAACCCCTGGAGTATCGAGGATGTAGTGATCGTAACCTCTGGAATATCAAGGATGTAGTGATCGTAACCCCTGGAATATCAAGGATGTAGTGATCGTAACCCCTGGAATATCAAGGATGTAGTGATCGTAACCCCTGGAATATCAAGGATGTAGTGATCGTAACCCCTGGAATATCAAGGATGTAGTGATCGTAACCTCTGGAATATCGAGGATGTAGTGATCGTAACCTCTGGAATATCGAGGATGTAGTGATCGTAACCTCTGGAGTATCGAGGATGTAGTGATCGTAACCCCTGGAATATTAAGGATGTAGTGATCGTAACCTCTGGAATATCAAGGATTTAGTGATCGTAACCTCTGGAGTATCGAGGATGTAGTGATCGTAACCCCTGGAATATCAAGGATGTAGTGATCGTAACCCCTGGAATATCAAGGATGTAGTGATCGTAACCCCTGGAATATCAAGGATGTAGTGATCGTAACCTCTGGAATATCAAGGATGTAGTGATCGTAACCTCTGGAATATGGAGGATGTAGTGATCGTAACCTCTGGAATATCAAGAATGTAGTGATCGTAACCTCTGGAGTATCGAGGATGTAGTAACCGTCACCCCTGGAATATCAAGGATGTAGTGATCGTAACCTCTGGAGTATCGAGGATGTAGTGATCGTAACCTCTGGAGTATCAAGAATGTAGTGATCGTAACCTCTGGAGTATCGAGGATGTAGTGATCGTAACCCCTGGAATATCAAGGATGTAGTGATCGTAACCTCTGGAATATCAAGGATGTAGTGATCGTAACCTCTGGAATATCGAGGATGTAGTGATCGTAACCTCTGGAGTATCGAGGATGTAGTAACCGTCACCCCTGGAATATCAAGGATGTAGTGATCGTAACCTCTGGAGTATCGAGGATGTAGTGATCGTAACCTCTGGAGTATCAAGGATGTAGTGATCGTAACCCCTGGAATATCAAGGATGTAGTGATCGTAACCCCTGGAATATCGAGGATGCATGCAAGCTTGAAATGATATTTTGATCGAGTTAACCTACGAATGTGTCGAAAGTTCTTAGTCCGTTCTGCGAAATGAGTTTCAAGCCAGTTGGTCAAAGCTGATCACATATGCAATTTGTTGGAGATTTTTTCACATACATTACGCTCACTGTTGTCTCCATATTGATATTTTGTAGACTATACCCTCAGGCATATCTAGAGTAAAAACGCCACAGTTTCAATTGTTAAACTTTCAATCTGTTGCGGACACAAAACGATCAAAAACAATGTACTCGTGTCTACTGGGGTTGCGAATCGATTACGCAAGTGTATCCATCGTGTACAACACTAAACCGTAGCGGTCGTTTTGTGGGGTCGGTCGCTCACCCGAGTCTGATTTAAACATTTAACAACTGGTAATTTGTCGTAACACTGCAACCAATATGCTGTGCCAATCGACATCGAGACTCTCCTTTCCAGGCTTGATTATGTGTCAGACGATTTATGGGAGCGGAGATACAAGTAAGCTGTAGAAGAAAACATCTTTGTACACAATTACTAATATAAATCAGTGTCAATAGGGATCGCCTTTTTTTATTTCACAGACTTGATGATTAATTATGCAATCACCTATACTGAAGAACTAACTTGATATGATTTCTAACCTGAACAGAGTCGCTTGGATTTCATGCTCTGTACCATGCAGCATCATACATTATGTCCAATAAAACCAGTCAAGTTCGATCTGTCTCTAAACCAGTGAAGTTCCATATGTCTCTAAACCAGTCAAGTTCGATATGTCTCTAAACCAGTCAAGTTCGATCTGTCTCTAAACCGGTCAAGTTTGGTATGTCTCTAAACCAGTCAAGTTCGATCTGTCTCTTTCAATATGTCTCTAAACCAGTCAAGCTTTACCTGTCTCTAAACCGGTCAAGTTTGGTATGTCTCTAAACCGATCAAGTTCGATATGTCTCTAAACCAGTCAAGTTCGATCTGTCTCTAAACCGGTCAAGTTTGGTATGTCTCTAAACCAGTCAAGTTCGATCTGTCTCTTTCGATATTTCTCTAAACCAGTGAAGTTCGATATGTCTCTAAACCAGTGAAGTTCGATATGTCTCTAAACCGGTCAAGTTCGATATGTCTCTAAACCAGTCAAGTTCGATCTGTCTCTAAACCAGTCAAGTTTTGTATGTCTCTAAACCAGTCAAGTTCGATCTGTCTCTTTCGATATGTCTCTAAACCAGTCAAGCTTGACCTGTCTCTAAACAAGTCAAATTTGATCTGCCTCTAAACCGGTCAAGTTTGGTATGTCTCTAAACCGATCAAGTTCGATATGTCTCTAAACCGGTCAAGTTCGATCTGTCTCTAAACCGGTCAAGTTTGGTATGTCTCTAAACCAGTCAAGTTCGATCTGTCTCTTTCGATATTTCTCTAAACCAGTGAAGTTCGATATGTCTCTAAACCAGTGAAGTTTGATATGTCTCTAAACCGGTCAAGTTCGATATGTCTCTAAACCAGTCAAGTTCGATCTGTCTCTAAACCAGTCAAGTTTTGTATGTCTCTAAACCAGTCAAGTTCGATCTGTCTCTTTCGATATGTCTCTAAACCAGTCAAGCTTGACCTGTCTCTAAACAAGTCAAATTTGATCTGCCTCTAAACCGGTCAAGTTCGATATGTCTCTAAACCGGTCAAGTTCGATATGTCTCTAAACCGGTCAAGTTCGATCTGTCTCTAAACCGGTCAAGTTTGGTATGTCTCTAAACCAGTCAAGTTCGATCTGTCTCTAAACCAGTCAAGTTCGACCTGTCTCTAAACCGGTCAAGTTTGGTATGTCTCTAAACCAGTCAAGTTCGATCTGTCTCTTTCAATATGTCTCTAAACCAGTCAAGCTTGACCTGTCTCTGAACAAGTCAAATTTGATCTGTCTCTTTCGATATGTCTCTAAACCAGTCAAGCTTGACCTGTCTCTAAACAAGTCAAATTTGATCTGCCTCTAAACTGGTCAAGTTCGATATGTCTCTAAACCGGTCAAGTTCGATATGTCTCTAAACCAGTCAAGTTCGATATGTCTCTAAACCGGTCAAGTTTGGTATGTCTCTAAACCAGTCAAGTTCGATCTGTCTCTAAACCAGTCAAGTTCGATCTGTCTCTAAACCGGTCAAGTTTGGTATGTCTCTAAACCAGTCAAGCTTGACCTGTCTCTAAACAAGTCAAATTTGATCTGCCTCTAAACCGGTCAAGTTCGATATGTCTCTAAACCGGTCAAGTTCGATCTGTCTCTAAACCGGTCAAGTTTGGTATGTCTCTAAACCAGTCAAGTTCGATCTGTCTCTAAACCAGTCAAGTTCGATTTGTCTCTAAACCGGTCAAGTTTGGTATGTCTCTAAACCAGTCAAGTTCGATCTGTCTCTTTCAATATGTCTCTAAACCAGTCAAGCTTGACCTGTCTCTAAACAAGTCAAATTTGATCTGTCTCTAAACCGGTCAAGTTTGGTATGTCTCTAAACCAGTCAAGTTCGATCTGTCTCTTTCGATATGTCTCTAAACCAGTCAAGCTTGACCTGTCTCTAAACAAGTCAAATTTGATCTGCCTCTAAACCGGTCAAGTTCGATATGTCTCTAAACCGGTCAAGTTCGATATGTCTCTAAACCAGTCAAGTTCGATCTGTCTCTAAACCGGTCAAGTTTGGTATGTCTCTAAACCAGTCAAGTTCGATCTGTCTCTAAACCAGTCAAGTTCGATCTGTCTCTAAACCGGTCAAGTTTGGTATGTCTCTAAACCAGTCAAGCTTGACCTGTCTCTAAACAAGTCAAATTTGATCTGCCTCTAAACCGGTCAAGTCGATCTGTCTCTAAACCAGTCAAGTTCGACCTGTCTCTAAACCGGTCAAGTTTGGTATGTCTCTAAACCAGTCAAGTTCGACCTGTCTCTAAACCGGTCAAGTTTGGTATGTCTCTAAACCAGTCAAGTTCGATCTGTCTCTAAACCGGTCTAGTTTGGTATGTCTCTAAACCAGTCAAGTTCGATCCGTCTCTTTCAATATGTCTCTAAACCAGTCAAGCTTTACCTGTCTCTAAACAAGTCAAATTTGATCTGCCTCTAACCAGTCAAATTTTATCTTTCTCTAAATCTGTCAGGTTATATCTGTCTAAACCTGTAAACTTTAATCTGCCTTCAAATCAGTGAATTTCGATCACTCCCCTTTTTCGGCTAAATTGTACATGTACGCTTTTGTCAACAGCTCCGGGTTACCGACATGGTGCTCCTGACTTTTCCACTGAAGTCTGTAACTAAATCGTTACAAACTTTGAGGCGCCGTTTTACTTTTAATCAATATTGTATTTGATGTCACCAATTCATTATGGCGTTATCAACAATTTATTTACTAAGAATACTTTTATCATCAATTTCTTATAGTGATATCGTCAAATGAATTAGAGATATTACCAAAATGACTCCAATTCAAAATGAATTGGTTATATAACCGAACAGGCGATATCTTCAAATAATTAAGTGATACCACCTGTTCATTATAAAGTCACCAAATCATTATGACGATATAACATAAAAAGTTCGAAAAGAGGATGTCACCTGTTTAGAGTTGTCACTAAAACGATTATGTTATATCACCATAATTATGAATGATAATACTGCAATGTGTGTGTGACATCTCTTTATTATAGTAATATCACCTATTCAACTGGTGTCAATTAATTATGGTGATATTATCATGCTGTTGCATAGCATACATAATATACCACAAACTTAGATACATGTATGTTATTACAAAAGCAAACATGGGAGGTAATGCTGCGAATGTTGTACTACGGATCACGTGGACTTGGTACAAATTCCCAACCCACGGACCAGATATGTGTATCATGGTTACTATAATACGTCCATTTGTGTATGGACAATTTGTCAGAAATTCGTGCCAAGTCCCAGTACCATTAAGTAAGATCTATAAATTCTTGTATACATAGATCTAAGTCAGAGTAGTACAACATTCGCAACTCTCATGGGTGCATTTGTAATTACGGGATATTTTCTGAACGCCAGCACTTTTTCAATCAATAGGGATGTGTTTCTTTAGGAAGCAATGGCAAGTCTACACCTTTTCATATGCTATCATTTTTCACTCAGACATTTACCTGAGATTTATCTATGTTTCTTACATTTCAACATATTAGATGATTGATAATTTTGAAAACATTGAAATGTTATTATTAAAGTGATGAATGTGTGAAAATTCACTAGAAAAATGTGGACAATTTCATTTGAAAATTCAGCACTTAATTATATATACATGTACAAACAACAGATTATTATATTGGACGATTTAGCACCATCAACACATGACAATACAACGAAAGAATATAAACTGTTTTTCTTTCAAGTATTTGAAACAAAGAGGGAAAAAAACAAAACAATTGTGTAGGTTACAAACACTAATGCCGGTAATACATGTAATACTGGGCGTCAAGACTTGTATCCATAGTAATAGCCAGCAGAAAGGGGATGAATTACAGTATTTCATTTTATTCAACATTTTCAAGTTATCATTAGTTTTTTGAAATACAACAAGCTACAATGTATATGGTTTATCGTGAACGGGGCATCAGCAAGTCTATTTATAAATGGTATAAAAACAAGAGTGATACATTATTGGTGAAGAATCTTAGACTTAGGAAAGACAACTGCCTGGTAGACATCAATGCCTGGATGAACGCCAATATGCTTAAGCTTAACCAGGATAAGACGGACCTCATTGTTCTCGCACCAAAGCATCAACAAACACACGATATCCAGCTTAAAGTTGGTACAAAAACCATTAAGGCAGCTCCAGTTGTTATAAACCTGGGCGTATACTTCGACAGTTCAATGACCAGGGACAAGCAAGTGAATGTTATTGCAAAAAGCTATTTCTACCAACTTCGGAATATGGACATATTCAACAGTTCATGAGCATGGATGCATACAACACACTGTTGCATTCACTTGTGGCTTCTCACCTGGACTATCGGAACGCCCTTTTATATGAAATTCAAGTCTGACTCGGCAACTAGGCGCCTGAAGAAAAGTCCAGGACACTGCTGCGCGTCTGGTTTCCAGTACTAGAAAACGCGAGCACATTACACACGTGCTACATTCCTTACATTGGTTACCCGTGCATTATGGGTAACAGTACAAAATTCTGATGCACTCATACAAAGCACTTGATCGAACAGCTCCTAGTTATCTAACAGAGCTCGTCACTCCCTACCAGCCTTCACGTTCCTTACGGTCAGAGGCTGAGTCCCTGCTTTGTGTGCCTAAGTCGTGTACTGTGACTTATGGTGACCGATGTTTTGGGAAGGTTGCCGCCACACTGTGGAATAACCTATCATCACAAATCAGGAAAGCAACAACACTCGCCAATTTCAAAAAGAGTGTTAAGGCCCATCTGTTCAGGTGTGCTTTTTCTTAGACTATCAATTTTTGCTATATGTACACACATGGGGTGTTTTTCTGGTGATCATGCAGACACTATGATCAGCATATCATACATATATTTTGATGCATAATTTATTATTGATACCATGACTGAAATTTTACATGCACTGTAAAGTGCCTTAGAGTAATTTGTGAAATTATATAGGGCGCTATATAAATGTGTATATATTATTTTTTTATTGCGATGTATAAATAATTATTGTTATAACAATATGAAAATTGAGTAGTTCCATACTACACTCTTTCTATAATCGTCATAAGCTATTTAGGATGAGTGTATTGGCAGACCAGTCTCCTATGATATCTCTAATTTGTGAACATGGGAAAATGACTGATATCAGTTGACACACACATACACACACATCCTCACACAAACACACGTGGCCTTTGTTTATCGTTGGCCCTACTCGAGCATAGTTGTATGAGCCAGCTGTGATAGCCAATCAAATAAGGATTTACTGAAAAGCTCCGCCCACTAGGCAGTTAGTGATTCTCACAAGTCTGTCGCATCAACCTACGGCAAACAAGGTTGAAGAAATGGAAGATATCGCGAAGGAAGAAACACTCCATCTAAGGAATAAACACGTTGGGTAAGTTATTCTAATCACTTGAAACTGATCGATGACATCGCTTATACAGGGCGCCTGTGTCTATATTTTGTTTTAGTAATGCACCCGTGTTAGAACGGTTTATGTAAACGCTTTACTGTTGGATGTGTGCATGCGCATGAGCGTGTTGACAAATTTCGTCCCCAAATAATTTTGACGTCTGCTCATCTTAGGCCTATAGTCTGTGTTATAAAACTAATGCCTCTTGTTTCAGACGTTAAGTCGACATTCGACAATTTATTTCAAAGTACACTAATCATACATATGTGCAATGATAAATTTAAAGCCACAAATGTAGCACACTCCGTGCAGAAGTGTATAAATTTACCGTGTAGTTGGCGGCATGCTAACTTCAGAGCTATGTCTAATAAACTCTTATCAACCGGCTTCGATGATAATTACAATCGTATCTTATCAAGGTCCGTGCTCTTATCAATTTCTGACCCAACAACCATATCAGATGGAACAGCAGTACTAAACGCTCGAACATGACAAGGCCCTGCGTGTTCAATGTGCACGTGCATCCTTGACTGGAGGAGTCTACAGCGTACCTGTCGCCTTCATACAATAAAGAACATCAAGAGTATATAATCATTCGCGGCCCATGCAAAGATATAAAATATGCTTAGGGTAAAGGGGTGCGAGTGAATTGGCCAGTTTCGTGAGTGTTCTGTCCAGCGTTATATGTATGCAAAATTTCTAAATTGTTTATTTATGTGCTTAAACATATTTTCTGTATGAAAATGCTGAAATGTGAGCTGGTACTAGAGGTGATGTTTGTGAACATGCATATAAAGTATCATGACACTAAGGAAATGCAGCTTGAAGAGCAAAATTGTGTCAATTTCTATTTATTGTAATGGTGACCTAGTTTTTCACTGCAGAAGGTTGAAGCATAAATTCTACAAGAGGTGATGTTTGTAAATGTGTGTAAATTATCTTGACAAGCATAAAAAGAATGTTGCCCGTGGAGCTGTGAAAAGAGATTTGTCTATTTCTATTCATACTAACTGTGGTTTGGTACAGAGGTTTGACAAGCGAATTTGTACAATAGGGGATTTTTATGGGTTGAAAATTTCATTACAGTGGTTTGATTAGTGATATATACATAAACAAATTTGAAGATGTTTATTGTTAATTTTATTAATAAGACCGTGTACTATAATGAGGGACTTTACGCTACTTTTCTATGATTTGTGGGAGGATAGCAACAGGAGATACATATGTTAATATAATTTCAGTCTTTGCTTTGTAATTAAAAAAAATCCTGTCATCCTCAACATTATGTTGGATAACTTGGTGGGGGAAAAATCTAATTCATACATTACCGCTTGTAACTCTGATGCTGCGCATGCGTATAAGCCTAGAAAGAAGCAATATGACGGACACAAATACGAAAAAGGGATGACCTAAAAGTTACCCAACAGAAAGTGCCAGAAAACGTAAGAGGAAGGAGTCAGACCAGAAAAGAGGACAGACTAAAATTTATATTAGCAAGAGATCAATAGATGGCAAAAGATGAAGGAGGGTCTTAGATTGAATACGGATTTGGAATTTGCGAAGCTGCTGCTTGACTGGTTAGCTTAACGTCAGTTTATAATGACAACGTATCCGCTTGTCATTGATTATAATTCAATATTCAGTGTTTGACGCGTGTATATGTTATGAACAACACTACTTAAAGTATTATGTGATAAATGTTGAATGAAAATAGTTGTGTTATTTGGTTGAAATTACTATCAACAACGCATGTTTGTTGTTGACTGCAAGGTGGGGCCCAATTAGGGGTATTTGTTCGAAGTGTGAAAATATGATGGTGCTGGTGTTACTGTCATAGAATAACGACTGTGGTGATAAACATAACCTTCATAATAAACACATAAACACATGTTGAATAGTAAACAATATCAATGTGTACAGAAAAAGTATCAATTCCTGTGCATTTCTGCACAATGAGTTTTTTCTTTTCCGATTGTAATTACCCCTTTTGGGGCCCCACTAGTTTAGCACCCGCGATTGACATAGATAATTCCCGCACGGCAAGCCAAAACAAAATGAATTACTAAGATTGATTTTTAAAAATTATATAATATAACACTATAGAATCATTTACTGCAAACAAGAATCAGCAGAAAGGCGCAAAAGCAAGTGTTATACATAAGACATGTGCGTTTGTGTACACTTTCCTCATAATCCATTTTTTCTTTGCAGCGGAAGTAAATGACTTCGTTACGTGACAAGCCATGTGACCCACTCGGCTTTCTTCGTAATAAACTGAGCATGAACATATTTATAAACAATTGTTAGATAAACAAAGTCCTGACACTGAAAATAGGTACAAAAACAATAAATTTGACGTTATAGGTGCGTGTATCGCTTTATTATGGAAATATTTTATTATTCATAAGCCGAATTCTCCATTTCCTGATGTTGAAATCTAAGGTAAAAGCCACTTTAATCTGTTGTGTAAAATGCTACTGTTGATTCAGCCTCCTCCACTTTTTACACAATCAGGTATTGGTTACCTACCACTGTTAGTTTATATTAATAAACAATCTGACTGGATTAAGCAGGTATATGCTGAAGACATTTTTTTTACAGTTGATTTATAGTTGCTTTGCACACAGTGAGGAAGGGAACACCATATTTCATGAAGGCATATATATCTACTTGACATTTGAGACCTGTACTCAGGCATTTAGTGTATGTGCCCTATAAGATATCTTATATGGAAAGGCATGTAAATTAGTTCAGTCTCTGCTTACCCAGTTGAGAACTGCTTGGGTACAGAGCTATGCCCTTATATTACCTTCTGACCCTCCTTTATAGTTACATTCCTACATGTAAAGTATCAAATATGTAATTCCCCAAGAGATGGGAAATCATTTAACATCCATACATCTGCATGTCACTTTACATAAACGTTCCATTCAAATCGCTTTTTCTCAATAACCAAAAGACCCAGGGTGCTGATATTGGGCCAGTAGCATGCTAAAATAAAAGGCTACCAAGTTTATTCAAATGAATGACCTTGACCACAGGTCACAGGGGCCAGTTGTGTTAAAACAAGTTCTTCTCATTAACCAAACATCCTTGGGTGCAGTTATTGGTCCTTTAGCATACTGGGGAAAAAGACTATAATGTTTGTCCAAATAAATGACTTTGACCCACTTTCAATTTCAAGGTAACAGAGGTCTAACATGTTAAAATCTTCATACAACTTCTATTTAGTATCCAAAAGGATACTATTTATATTGGTTTTGTGTTATAGCTTAATTTAGGGCTACCTAATTTATTCAAATGACTGACCTTAACCCATTTTCAAGGTCACTGAGGTCAAAAGTGTTGAGAACTGAAAATTTGTTCAGTACAGTTTTGTCCAGTTTACAGATGTTGACTTTAAGTATGAGCAAACTCTTCTGTGTAAGCTGTTGAGCATGTGAGCAATTAAGGCCCTTTGAGTCTCTATTATATATGTATCTCTCTTTATATTCCGATGATACCGTTAAAGTCCATGGGCCTCATGTTTTGTATCTTTAATCAAAATACTTACCTAGATTACGTATAAGAATGAATAATACTCACAGATGTATAAAAATGAGATTAAATAATTAGATGATCATTTAAATCTCATCCTCATCCCATCATTACTATCTAACTCCATATTACTTCTAATAGATTCCGCAACTCTCTTTTTTAATTGTCCTCTTTCTTTAGAAAGAATGCAATTGAAATCCGGCATGATGAACAGATATGTATTTCATGCCATGGGCTTGTACAAAGGAGGGATCTATAAGGGAGAAAAGGGTAATTTTGTCTTGTGTATGGTAAACCCAAGCTAAACAAATAAACAAGAGGCTATAGAGCTTATATCACGTACCTAGTTTAGTTTGGTGACATTACTCTGTATAAACTAAAGGGAAAGCATTTTAAAGAATTTCCATTTAAGCCCTCAGTCCTCTGTTCCAAATGGGTTAAGATGTATGCAAAACTGAGCTATCATCATTCATTTAAGATTTAAACAAATGTAATCATTCCTTCAGAAGCAGAAGAATTTTAGAGAATTTGCTATATTTCAGCTCTGGCCACTAGGGGCCAAGATCCACAATTTAGAAAAAAATTTGTTTTCCTTTTTCAAGGATGCTTCATTTCAAATCAAAAGTCACCTTCATCCCATCTGAAGAAAGATTTTAAACTTTGTTTCTATTTCTCCTATTGGACCCTACCCCACAGGCCCCAAGGGGCCAACACCCATCATTTTTACAAAATTTGTTTTCTCTTCACACTAGGATGCTTCAGACCAAATTTAGACAATCATTCCTACAGAAGAATGATTTTCCTTAGTTTGCCATATTTTCCCTTTCAACTTTTGCCCCTAGCTGAATGTTGTCATACCCTTTGTTTATACAAAATTGAAACTTTACCCAAGGATACTTCAGATCAAATTGAATTGAGACAGAGTCCAGGTATGCCTTCAAAGGAGAAGAATATTAGAATTTGTTCTATTTACCTTTCTTAGCCCAACCCCTAACACAGCCCCAGGACACGAGACTCCTGTTTCATACAAATTGATTCCATATCACCCAAGGATGCTTCAGATGAAATTGGGACAGTATCCTGGCATTCCTACAGAAGAAGAAGAATTTTGGAGAATTTGTTCTTTTTCCTTTGGGTCTTGACCCTCTTGCTCCTGGGGGCTGTAATGTACTGATGACGCCAAATTTATTTCCCTACAATTACAATCAAGAATGTTTCAGACAAAATTGGGACAAAATCTTTGACCATTCCTCAAGGGAAAAATAAGTACTTTTAAGATCTTACTAAATTTACCCATTTGGACACTGTCCACCCTTGATGCTGAGACCCTTGGTTATACAAATTGATTCCCCGTTACTCAAAAATGCCACAGACCAAATTTGGATAATATCCTTTCATTTTATAAGAAAAATGATTTTTAAGTACATGCCCTGCAGACTTGCGGGAGCTGATACCCACTATTTATACAAAATTTAATCCCCACCAAGGATTGTCACATTTTACATAGTAGTTGATGACTATCGTAGCAATAGTTATAGTTGTGTGTATGACATAGGCTCATGGGTCCTTTGAACCAGGTGACCTCAAACATTACAAATACAACAAACCTTTACATTTTTTTTGTGGAGTAATTATATAGCTGTTGGTAAAACTCAAGAATTGACTGGCCCCTCCTGACTTGTGCATTGTAAACATGTACATGTTGTTAAGTTGTTTTTTATTTTTAAACATATTTTTTAAAGTATCACTTGAAGCCTTCGAGGTATAAAATCAGATCAGGCTGGCACTCTCCTAATTGATAATTAGTGGACAATGGTGCTATAGCTAGTGCCAATGTTATAAGAGGTACATTGTTTAAGTAGGAGCATCCGATGTGATACATGAGGTGGAAATGGATCAAACAAGAAAGAAGGTCCATTGTAGGTGTCATAACTGGGGGGTGTTTGTCATTTTAGTCAGCTCTTGTCATTACTCACCCATGAATGCAAGACCATTACAATTATGCTACTGAAATAGATGGGCTCTTTCCACACATGATGGACAGAATGTCTTCCAAGTGACAAAACAAATTAATAGTTGTTGGTTGATACAAGTTGATGAAGGAGAAAGGTCAAAGTTGCACAAAGTATATTGTAATGGCTTTGAAGCTGGGAGTTGCACCTATCAGCTGGTGAATGGTCAGTTTTTTCTCCTAGAACCAAACAAATTACTTCGCTTCTGCCTTCAATTTTGCCTTGACATTTTCCCGGGGTGCAGAGAGCTAAAGTGACCATAACTTGTAAGACAAGTAATTCATACAGATGTACAGATGTCTCACAAGATTGGACTAGAAAAGCTCTTTGTAGTGTACATCTACATATTGAGTGACATTTTTTTCTGTTTGAGCTTCCTTTTGGATACATGTAAATTAAAATACTTAATTGCAAACATTCTCTTTGATATTAATATTGAAAGCTTATCAAAGACATATCATTCATGTAGTACTGGAACACTTCACATTATTAAGGTTTAACATGATGTTTTTGTTGTCATGTATGTCAGTGTCTTGGTTCTATAAATATTCTGAAGGTAAGTGTTATCTTCACAACAAAGTTCATGTCAAACAAAATATCAGATTTATTAATGGGTTCAACATGTGTTACATGAATTGTTTGACCCAGAAGATGTTCTAAAGTAGAGCTGGCAAAACGCAAGGCAGATCCTGTTACTTGTATGATCTATAAATAAATATATGGCCTTAATTGTTCTCTGCTTTTAGTTTTATTACTAGTACTGTACAGTGTTAAATCTACCCTTAACAAGTGGTTCTTCTATTACAGCTATATTGTAGGGGTTTTTCTACATGAAAACAAAATGTAATTGACCTCATTACTGCTAGATAAAAATTACAATTGTAATTGGTTGAAAAATATAATATAGAAACATTTACCCATAGCTATTTTTACTTTTAAAAAATGATCATTTTTATAGAAAAAGAACATTTTCTTAGAAAAAATTGTATTTTTTTTATAGTGCTCTGTAGTGAAATTTTGCTTTCTACATTGGTTGGATTTAATTTTAATTTGCATATGTATTTAGGGGCTGATATACATGTATGTAAAGTAATCGTAACCAGATACTGAAGTTTCATATTAAGTTAATGCATGAAAGAATGAAATATGTATCTTGGGACAAAAGATTTTTTTTTTCATTTTTTAAAATTTTGAAGAAATTCTGTCGTGGTTATAGATATAAACATTAAAACTGTATATGATTGCAATACTTCTAGACAGGATTATAAACATTAGAGTACATTTGTGTCTTTCTTACTTACTAAAGGCACATCTTTCTAGCACGCATTTAATTGTAAATGTGATTGTACTGTTGTGCAATTCAAACCTATAGGTAGGTGTTTGGATGTGTTGTGACTAGGATTTTGAATTTTTATAGAGGCATGAAAAATGTTTTTTTTTTTGTTTTGAGATCTTCTAACTATATACACATATATAAAAAGCCTTTCTGAAAACATATTGTATATAACAGATAAAAAACTTTTTACACCTCAAAAGATTTTTTTTATCTGTTTTATGTGTTTTCAACGAGGCTCCTAATATAGGTGTATAGTTAGAAGATTTAGGTTAAGTTGTTTTTTTAGGACACCTGAGATGAAGTCTCATAGTGACCTATTGCGATCACCTTTATCAAGCATCATGTGTCTGTAAACAGTTTAACATTTTTGATTTCTTCTCAAAAACTCCTCATTCAATTTCAATGAAATTTTGCAGAATCTGTCCCTTGCTGAAGATGAACCAAAACTGTGAATTACACAGGCCCCACCCCAAAGGGGCCTGAGAGACAAGCCAAAAGGGGTCAAATGCTCTGTATGAATGGAAGCATCTTAGGTGCTTTACCAAAATTATGAATTTTATGGCCCCAGGGCTGTGCATTTCTCCTTGGGGAGGGGGTAAATTTTACTACAGATTATAAAGGAAAACTTTTTGGGCATAATTTGTTTAATTTCCGATAAAAATATTTCAAACTTGCTTACGATTATGTGTGAAGGATGATGGCTTGATGGTTTGCCCATATTGATACTGACTGACCTCCAGGGGCTGATGGGTGGGGTCAAAATGGGTCGAATTGACCAAAATCTTTTCAGCACCCAGGTATAGTAGAATCAAATTCTCTGTATGAAAGGAAGTATCTTAAGGTGCTTTAATTACCAAAATTGGTCTCAAATTTCTTTCTGGGGAGGATGTTTTTTCAAACTTTACTGTAATTTTCATAGAAAACTTGCATTTTTGAGCATAACATTGATTATTTCCCTCTGGAAATAACTTTGTCAGAGTTTTGATGGTATGGATGTATTCACACTGACTTACTATATTCAGTGTTACAATTTCTGTTTCATCACACTTGAAAACTACCTGTTAACCTTTATATTCAATAATGCTTATCTCAGGTGACCATCAAGGCTGCTAGGCCTCTTGTTTGGTCTCATAAACTTACCTTTTCCTGAGTTGAGGCCCTTGTACCGAAAAATGCAAGCAATATGGTTCTAATTTCTGATTTTCTTAAAGCTGAATGAAGATACTAAACAGAAATTTAGTATGTGGTTTTATAGTGGAAAGGTTCTTATTAATATTTGGTCAACGTTTTTTCCAGCACTTTAAGTTTTGGTCCTTAGACCTTTCAGTTTAGTCATTTTCTCAGTGTTGTATGGGAATATTGAACTGAAATTTGATTATTAACAAGTCAGCTATTTATTAACTTTAGACATGCATTTTTATTGGCCAACAAATACCTGACACATGGAAATGTCACAAGTATACATTAAAAAATGCCTATAACACTTAAAATCTCCTAATGGTTGTCACACCATAACATCTAGTGATATCTTTATGTTTTCAGTGGAGCTTGTAAGCTGTTCTTTGCATCAGATCCCCTAAAGATTGTGCGTGCCAGTGGTCAGTATATGTATGATGAACAGGACCAGCAGTACCTAGACTGTATCAACAATGTATGTCATGGTGTGTATCTCATACTGTATGTTATACTTGTTTAATTTGTCATTTTTAAGCCCATGCCTCTTGATAAGCCCACCCATAATAATTAATTGCTGCTCAGCAAAATAACCAACAAATGCGATTTTCATTCCCACGAAACAAGTTTACAGCTACATCAAGTCATTAGGTAGTCAACCTAGGCATATTGCAAGATGAATATAATATAAATGGTACTGCAGCTGTGTATAAACCTGAGCCACTGATATCATTGTCCTGATATCTCAACATTGACACAGATACTGTTGAGTTCAGACTCCAAGTACATATCTGATCAGTTTTTGGGGAGGAGCGGGAGAGGCATGAATTGTGTAAATCCATCTGGAAACACTGTCATCACTGTGGTGTCTTTATTTCTGAATGAATTTTAATCAAAGTTTATGCAAAGGTCAACTGTTTCAATACCTCGGATGAATTTACATTTCAAGCTTCATTGGTAGAAAGGTCAAGTTCTAATTACTTTATTGCTTTATTTAGAAATGAATTAAATGAATTAAGATACATAATCTGATGAGCTGAAACAAATGTCCTTTTATAATACTTATTTTAGTTTGTTAGCGGTCTAATATTTAATAGCATGTTTCCAGTTGGACATTGTCATCCTGATGTTGTCGAGGCTGGATGCAAGCAAATGAAGGTGCTCAACACAAACTCTCGCTTCCTGCACGACAATCTTGTTCTTCTGGCTAAACGCCTCACGGAGACCATGCCTGATAAACTGTCTGTTGTGTACTTTGTAAACTCAGGGTAGGTAATTAGAAATATGATATATACTGTAAATAACTTCTGATGGAGTATATGATTAAGAGTTTGTGACTTTTAATATAACTCTGGCATGTTGCATATAATTCTGATTTCTGATTGTAACCTCTTCAGTTATATATTCATCTTTTATACGTCGTACTGCTTGCTTGATAGATAACGTTATTTTTGTTTACTTCAAAATTTCATATAATGAAAATTCATCTATTGGTGTGCATGTCATTATGACATGACTAGATCAGTGTTAAATAACACCTTAAGTCTGTAATTCTTAATTATAATAATTTGTAAGTAAGTTGATAGTTGGTTGATTTGTGATTATATGATTTTTTAGGTCAGAGGCAAATGATCTGGCTATTCGACTCGCAAAACATTACACGCGAGGAACAGAAATGCTAACTCTTGACCAGTAAGTAATATGTCTGTCCTCTTTCACCTTCAAATTATCATTTGTAATATGTCTGTCCTCTCTCACTTTCAAATTATCATTTGTAATATGTCTGTCCTCTCTCACTTTCAAATTATCATTTGTAATATGTCTGTCCTCTCTCACTTTCAAATTATCATTTGTAATATGTCTGTCCTCTCTCACTTTCAAATTATCATTTTTGATGTACATGCTGTTAATTTTCATTTTATCGTTTTAAGATGTCGATGGATTTTTTTAGTGACTGCCTTGAATTTCAAATTGATTAATTTCAGTGCTTACCATGGTCATGTAGTTTCTGCATTGGAGGTCAGTCCATACAAGTTACGACAACAGGTTGACAATTCTCATCCTCCACCTGACCATGTACATTGGGTAAGTAATTACCTGTACATGGCCTCCCTCCCTTACCTCTACCTGACCATGTACAACTATCAGTATGGGGTCTTCCCTTCCTTACCTCTACCTGACCATGTACAAATATCAGTATGGGGTCTTCCCTCCCTTACCTTTACCTGACCATGTACAACTATCAGTATGGGGTCTTCCCTCCCTTACCTCTACCTGACCATGTACAAATATCCCTTCTTAATGACTATGTACACTATATAATTAGAAGATAAATAATACGACCTGGGTAATGGGTAAATAAAACCATATGACCTCCTGAACCCAGATATCTACCTCACCTGAAGATATATCTGGGTGAAGTAGATATATGATCTCCCCTCCCCAAACTCCACTTGACCATGTGCATTTGTGAAAGTAGTCTTATGACTTCCTCCTCCCTTACCTCTACCTGACCATGTACATACTGGTTTATGACCTTCAATTGCCAATTAACCTCCATGTGACCATTGTACATTTTGTTAATAATTCATATATAGAAGATAATAGGCAATCACAACAAGCTCAGGATACCAAAATGATCATTTATTATTATTTGTCTACCGGTTTCTCCCGAAACATATGGGCTTCTTCAGGACCTGAAAACAAAAGTTATGGAGAATGGAGTTCAGATGCTGGACTCCCTCAGGAGCTAGCTGTAGACAGACTGACAATTGCTTCTGATGCCCAGAAGACAATTGATAAAAACAATTTCTACTACACCAAATTCTTTCACATTGTGGTCATATTTCTGCATGATATGAGAGTCACAGACATGGTTTGCCTTTAAGGCTGAAGACAATTATTGGTCTAAGGTTCAGAATCAAATATTCTTGTAATGACAGTTAAAACAACTATTAAAAATTGTCAAAATCTCCTAAAGCTTGTGACTATGCAAATGTAATATTATGATATTGAACTGTAATAAATTATAACATTTGTATATGGGTATAGGCTTGGCACTCTATTAGGTGAGAATTTTGGCTTGGCATGTAATGTAGGCAAGTCTCCGAGATGTGACAACTAGGCAATATATATGATGTGGATTTTAGAAAAATATGTAATTTGTAAATATCAGAAATGGTTGTAAGTTTCTGAATTGCCATTTCCAGTCTGTAGCGCAAGATTACAGAGCATTAATGCAGTCTCTGATTTCACTATGCTCCGAGTTATATTCCCTTAAACTTGAATGGAATATTGATTTTTTTCTTTTGAGCATTTTGTTAGGTGTCGATTAACGCTCTGTATGAGATTCATGAACTCCTCTCTGACTGTATAGACTACATTCAGAATGGCATTTATTTCTCTTCTTGTCAAACTGTTAACTTTTGTGATTTCACCATTTCAATTGTATAAGTGGAGCAAAAACAAATACAGGAGGGCATAGTAAGTGGTTACCTGTATTAGTCTTGATATATGGTACATATGCATTAAATATAGTGTAATCTGTACCGGCCCTGACCCAGTACTTAAGTAGGGTTGACATACAAACAGAACACATTATTCAAGTAAGAGGTGTTGTTAAAGAATCTGATACAAAGGATATGATAGAAACTGTCTAGACAAGATGATATGAGCCAAACAAATCCATTTAAGGGTTAACAAAACAATATAAATGTGACATGAATGTTTTATATTGAAATTTATTACATACAATTCAAGAATTAAAATAAGATTGTGTAAACCTTCCTACATGTAGTACATACATTAACCCTACCTGACTTTGTAAATATCTGTTTTTATTTAGTCGTAGGTTTATCTGTTGTAGTAGTTTCAGTTCTGGTTCAGGTGACCTAGATAAGCAAATTCCAATGTACCTCCAAATTACCTCAATGATTATACCGTAATTATCACTTCCTATTCTTGGCATTGACTTGTGGTATATGTAAGGAAAATGGTACTAAAATTATGTGAACAGGTTACAATTGGATAAGATATTGATGGATGGATTTTATCACTGGTCTCCATATAGGACTAGTTATGTAACAAAATCCATTATTAAACAATGGAAAGGTAGTTTTCTAATTGTTATCAGGATCTTCTTTTTACTGTTATATTCACGGTTATTTATACACATGTCAGTAATTAAAAAAAATACATGTGTGTCGTCAGTGTCATTACTCATAATTTTATGTACATGGAATCATAGTGCAGTGTGTAAACATAACATACAGTAAGGAATTACAGTGGACATTATGTGTGAAAGATGAGTCACGTCTTGTATATATTATTCACATTTCAAATCACTTTAAATCATTATAAATACATTGGAAAACAAAGCAGACTGATTAATTCAATAAAGTATAATGTGTCATCCAAAACTCTGTATGTGTACATCTTAAATGACATAGGGCACTTAAGGGTTAAACATACATGGGCATGGTATAAAAAGTTGCAAGTTGTTAGCATGTTTCTCATTCACTGACAGTTACCAGTGAGTCATTTCTCATATGGAATTGCCTGCTAGACATAAAAAACAACATAGGAATATTTCCACTTCCCACAAATTATGTTCTTGATTTAAGATCCTTCAATGGAATATATTAAAAGCCAGTACCGTCTAAAGTATGGAGACTCACAGATGACAACGCTGAGAGACTCTGACATTACTGACAGACACTGACATTACTGAGAGACAATAACATTACTGAGAGACTCTGATGTTACTAAGAAAATCTAACATTACAGAGGGACTGATGTTACTGAGAGACTCTGATGTTACTGAGAGACTCTGATGTTACTGAGAGTCTCTGATGTTACTGACAGACACTGACATTACTGAGAGACAATAACATTACAGAGGGACTCTGACGTTACTGAGAGACTCTGATGTTACTGAGAGAATCTGATGTTACTGAGAGTCTCTGATGTTACTGACAGACACTGACATTACTGAGAGACAATAACATTACAGAGGGACTCTGACGTTACTGAGAGACTCTGATGTTACTGAGAGAATCTGATGTTACTGAGAGACTCTGATGTTACTAAGAAAATCTAACATTACAGAGGGACTGATGTTACTGGGAGACTCTGATGTTACTAAGAAAATATAACATTAAAAAGGGACTGATGTTACTGAGAGAATCTGATGTTACTGAGAGACTCTGATGTTACTAAGAAAATCTAACATTACAGAGGGACTGATGTTACTGGGAGACTCTGATGTTACTAAGAAAATATAACATTAAAAAGGGACTGATGTTACTGAGAGATTCTGATGTTACTGAGAGAATCTGATGTTACTGAGAGTCTCTGATGTTACTGAGACTGATGTTACTGGGAGAATCTAACATTACTGAGGGACTGATATTACTGAGAGACTGACTTGACTGAGAGAATCTGATGTTACTGAGAGAATCTGATATTACTGAGAGACACTGATGTTACTGAGAGAATCTGACTTTACTGAGAGAATCTGATGTTACTAAGAAAATCTAACATTACAGAGGGACTGATGTTACTGAGACTGATGTTACTGGGAGAATCTAACATTACAGAGGGACTGATGTTACTGAGAGACTCTGACTTGACTGAGAGAATCTGATGTTACTGAGAGAATCTGATATTACTGAGAGAATCTGATGTTACTGAGAGAATCTGATATGACTGGGAGACTCTGATGTTACTGAGAGAATCTGATGTTACTGAGAGACTCTGACTTGACTGAGAGAATCTGATGTTACTGAGAGAATCTGATATGACAGGGAGACTCTGATGTTACTGAGAGAATCTGATGTTACTGAGAGACTCTGACTTGACTGAGAGAATGTGATGTTACTGAGAGAATCTGATATGACAGGGAGACTCTGATGTTACTGAGAGAATCTGATGTTACTGAGAGACTCTGACTTGACTGAGAGAATGTGATGTTACTGAAAGAATCTGATGTTACTGAGAGACTCTGACTTGACTGAGAGAATGTGATGTTACTGAAAGAATCTGATGTTACTGAGAGAATCTGATGTTACTGAAAGACTCTGATGTTACTGAGAGAATCTGATGTTACTGAAAGACTCTGATGTTACTGAGAGACTCTGATGTTACTGAGAGAATCTGATGTTACTGAGAGAATCTGATGTTACTGAAAGACTCTGATGTTACTGAGAGAATCTGATATGACAGGGAGACTCTGATGTTACTGAGAGAATCTGATATGACAGGGAGACTCTGATGTTACTGAGAGACTCTGACTTGACTGAGAGAATGTGATGTTACTGAGAGAATCTGATGTTACTGAAAGACTCTGATGTTACTGAGAGAATCTGATGTTACTGAAAGACTCTGATGTTACTGAGAGACATGTTACTGACAGACTCTGACATACTGATAGTATCAAACATTACTGAAGGACTTTTGACATAATTGTGAGACTTTGATGTTATTGAATGACTCGCAGATGATATTACTAAGAGACTGACGTTATGACGAGACTCAGACATTAGTGAGATCATCTTACATTACTGAGATCATCTGACGACGTTACTGAGATCATCTGACGTTAATTAGAGAATCTGACATTAATCAGAGAATCTTACATCACTGAGATACTTTTTGACAGTAAACTCATATACAACATTATTGAGACTTACTGATGACAGAATTGGGACTTAAAGACGACAGATCTGAGTCACATGAACAACATTACTGGGACTGATGATATTACTAAGATATCACAGAGTGTGTTACTGGACCTGCGCAGACCTCAGTATTGAGATTGACCGTCAACATTACTGAGACTCCCACAGTTCCAAGAGGCACAGATAACAGATATTTTATATGGTGTGAAGTCACTTATGTATGGTATATGTCAGAGATTTTATGTTTTTTCACAATGGTCTGTTGAAAAGTAAAACTCTTACTTAGGCACTCTATTCCTGGCAAGAAGTGCTACAGATTGCATCCTGATCTCTTTACAAACTTCGCTCTACCATTGACATGCAAATATTTATTTTCATGTTTGCTAACAGATTCACTATATGGGACATCTTATTCAAATTTGCTTTGCAATGTCAAGAAACTAGCTAGCCTGCGTAGGGATTATTTAGTCTGATCAATATTTGGATTTAAATAGACATTTTTTTTATGCAAATCTATCAGATTCTCTTAGACGGTTTAGTTATCATTTGGTATTGAGAGCTCAAACTCTCAGTTAAATAATTAGAACTGACTCAGCATTTCGGACTTCTTTTTTTGTCAACTCAGGGCTTTCTGTAACAGTATTGTCAGTATGTCAGTACAGAACACTCAAAGCTTAATATGTACACTGTACACATATTGTGAAAGTTAATCCACAGCTGGTTAAAGTCTGGTCTTCAGTGTATATCTACAATGTAACCTGTGTTGATATTCAGCCCCGTAAATTCCATTGTCTACAGGGATTCCAGTTCCTATTTACAAAACCTGGTATATTATTATAAGCAGTAGGGGTCTGACTGCTTGATTGTACCTGATCAATATTACTTGGCACATTTTGGTGACAAAGTTGAAGTATTAAACTGCTTATAGACTATAATGGACTGAGTTGAGTCAAACACCACTGACTAACATGATTGAACTCTACCTCAACGCCACTAACCAACATGGTCAAACTCGACATAAAAACAGCAGATTAGCTCTACCTGGACACCACTGACCAATATTGTCTTTGACATGTCAGATCAGTATGGTCCAACTCTGCCTCAATCTACACCACTGACCTGTGTTTAGCTTGGTATAACTGTGTCCTGACACTACTGACCAACATGAGCAAACTCTTTCTCAAAACTACTGACCAACTGCAATTTCTAACTCTGCCTCAACACTAATTACCAACATTGTCAAACTTGATTCACACAACTGAACTGTGTGTAACTGGATTCTAACATTACTGACCGACACCAGCAAAAAAATTGCTCTGATATCACTGCCATCTTGGTCAACTGCCTGGATACCACTAACTAATATTGTCTTTGACAGATTAGAACGATGTGGTTGAACTCTGCCTAAATCTACACTGATGTCCAGTCGAGTGTTACTTGGTGTAACTGCCCTGACACCAATAACCACCAGAGTCAAACTTTGCTTTGACAGGTGTGATCTCATAGCAAAGCTCTACATCAGCAAGTTTGACCCACATTGTCAAACTCTAAAATATCTCAATTTACACTCGGCCACTGACATGACCAAGACCAGCAAACTCTTCCTTGACATCATTGGCCAACATGGTCAAACTTTGCCATGACACCATTGACCAATTTAATAAAACTCTGTCTTGACACAACAGAATTTAAAGTTCAAAGTTCGAAAGTGTTATTTAACATCAGTGCAATAAAACAGTAAAACATAAGCTCTTATGAGCTATTAAAACTAACACGTACAATATTAAAACACATGCACAGTTTCATTAAACAATACATACAGTACAGTTTATAAATCATTAAAACATAAATTAAGAATAATATTGTCAAACCCTGTAAGACGCTATATATAGACTTTCACATGGTCAAATTCAGTCTCGATCAACAACACCAACCAGGATGATCAAACTACCATAAAATTATAAATTGGCGATATAGTTCAACTGTGACATTACTCCCCTGACCAACAAATATTTTAAAATAATTATCTGTATTTCAGTATTATGTGAGAACTTTTGATAGATTCTGTTTCTTAAAATGTTGACAGCTGTCATGTCCAGATGTGTATAGAGGTAAATTCCGTGACTGTGACTACCCTGGGCATGATATGGGCCAGGTGTATGCCAATGAGGTGAGAGATGTCATACACAAGATCCAAGAAGATGGGAAGAATGTTTCTTTCTACATTGCTGAGTCGATGCAGAGCTGTGGCGGGCAGATTATCCCACCACAGGGCTATCTTAAGTCTGTCTACAAGTATGTACCTGCACCACCATCCGTAAGAACTCTGTTTATAATTTTAGGCATGGTATTCTAGAAAATGTGTTTTTAAAATTTCTCAGTCACAATGTTTTGGCGATATTTACAACCTGTGTGCAAAATGTGGTGATTGCACAACTGGAGTATACAACCGTATGTTTCTAGGAAAGAATGTCATAGATAACATATACAGTACCTAAAGATAGATGTGTCGGAAAATGTACATGTATACAAGAATGTAGGTGTAGGTATTGGTATTATATCATGTATACAGATCTGTGGGTGAAAGTATGCTTGATATGAATATAAATGTGAACAATGATAACATTATCCAGTATTATCTCACCCAGCTCATAGGCAACACTAGCTTATGCTGTAGTGTGATTACCATTATCAAGTCATCTTGAGTCAACCATTCCTTTCAAATTATTTGTTCTTAATAACCAAAAGGCCCAGAATCAAATTTGCTGAAAGTTCCTTGGATGTGAATATATTATGCTGATAGGTTTAGGAATTAAAGTATCAAAAGATGAATAAACTTGAACAATATTCAAAGTCACAGCAGTCAAATTTGTCCAGTCTTGTAAAAGACTTCTGATAAGTAAAAGTCTGAGAAGTATAATATCTGGTGGAAAGGTATTTCTAGTTCAAAGCAGAACAAATATTGAGAGAGAAAAAGAAGTAAAAGATATCATATGTAGATAAACTTCATTTATTTTACAACAGTTGCAAAACAAGTTATTTCAGCTTATACCAATCACTCGTGTTGACCCAGATGTAAGTGCACAATGGGTCTTATTGTGAAAGGAAACTAGAGTAATTGGAGAAAGATCTTGTGGTCAGGCAGATGACCCCGTCCTTTTTTATTTCCTTTCGGGGAAACAAATCCCAGATGGCTAGGTGAAAGGTCATTGTGTCACCACTGCACCACCTGAACTCCCTTGGAAATGTCATTTATCTTAAATCCTGGTAATAGCGGTCACTGTTTAGAGCTGAGTGTTAGAAGATTAAGCTAGTTGTGTAAATCATTTAAAATTGATAGGATGTGATCATATTGAATACCAATGGTGTTCAATGTTGTTAATGTATTTGTGATGAATATTAATGATATATTTGATGAACATTGAATACCAGGTGAGCGATGTAGGCTGATTGGGCTCTTGTTGTTGTTCTAGTGCTTTGCATTGTTGACATGATGTCATTTGAACAAGAAAGGAAAATTTCAGACAAAGATATGCTGAACTGGTTAAAAATACATGGCTATACATGTCCAGGGAAGGAGAGGTTACTCCCTTTTATTCTGGACAGGTACATCCATGAATTTTACCAGTGTGAGATTTCCTTGCCTCACTTTAGGGAACCCTAGGTTAGTATTTTGGTCTTTATTTTCATGCTCATTTTAAGCATTTCCTCATTCAATCATTTCTCAGAACCCCAGAAATTTCTTGATGTCTACTGTTTTTGTCATTAACAATGGGTCCCTTTTTACTTTAGAGAAAGCCTGCCAATCCTTTGTTCAAATCATAAGGAAACCTTTAATATTCATAATAATTTCTAAAAATCTAATTATTCTGGTAGGGAGAGCAGCTTTTAAGGATATTAGTGTGTCACAAAAAAGATCGATGATGTGTTTTCTAAGACAAGAAGTTTGGAATGTGCTCAGTATCATCAGGAAGTTAAAAAAAGTTGGCTAGTATGTGCCTATGGTGCTGGATTTGACAGTGGAAGTGAGAGATACAGTGGAGGCAGTATTGATCAGTGGCTGGCACCAGTCCCTCTGACTTTGTACCAGCTGGTGTGCCCAATACAGTTGCTTGCTTCAGACCTCCTGACTACTAGTTATAGTTTGCCCAATATGTTAAACGCCTCTCTGACATGTAACATCCACAGAATACTTCGATAAATTCAAAGTAAAAATGATATAATTTCCATAGAAAGTGTCAGATGAAATGTACATTGAATAAAATGTGCTAGTATGGGATGGGAAGTAATGTGTGTTTGGCATGAGTTCTCCAGTCAATATGATAGACTAGCTAGTAACTGTCTTTACCAATAGCTTGATTTGATCATATAATTATAGTCACTTGTATTGTGATATTCCAGGCAGTGCACTCAGTTGTTATTTGTATTAATATACTCTCTGTGTTAGCTAACTCTTCACTTACCAACTTAGTCAGCTTTACAATTGATGGAATTATTATACTGTTTTAAAAGCTATTGTGCAGTTTTTTTATTTAATTTTGATATAATGGCTGTGAATTTTGTATAAATATTCCATCCTGGTGCTTTAACACAATTATTAATCTGAAGCTCATCTCTTGGTCGGACAAGCTGTATGTGGACTCAAAAGTGTGGAATCATGGAATGAAGTAAGAGTTTTTAGATTTTTTATCATTTGATATTCTAAAACTACAGTGTAGCCCCATAAGTGTGATAGGATGTTGAGAAGAGGTGTTGTGATAATCCTTATATATTTTCATTGCCTCCCAGTATATGAGAGGGCATTAAGTATTTTTTTTATTGTTTATTTATGTTGATGGCATGTGTTCTCTACAGGTATGTGAGGGAGGCTGGTGGCATTTGTATAGCGGATGAAGTCCAGGTGGGATTTGGCAGAGTGGGCAGCCATTTCTGGGCCTTCCAACTTCAAGGTTAACTTGAATATTTAAAACTCTTACAAAATCTTGTCAAATTTGGTACAGCTTTAATCTCCACAATCAAACTATGATCCATGGTGTGTACTGTGATGATATTTTGTATTAATCTTATCTGTAGTGAGGAAATGTTCTAGCCTGACAGATTAAGCATAGTGTGATCTAATGCAGGCACTGTATGTTACAGCACTGGTATGATATAACTTGTGATGTTTCCTTGGTCTGGAAAATTCATTACATTTGTTGTGTTTTAGATGTAGAGCCAGATATTGTTACACTAGGAAAACCAATGGGTAATGGTCACCCAGTGGCTGCTGTGATCACTACACAAGAGATATCAGACAGTTTTAAGAACAGCGGTATGGAGTACTTTAACACGGTAGGTCAATATCTCTGCTATTTCTGTGTCACAGGTATTAATTTTCTGTACTAGTCAGTCCATACAACAATTGGTGTCACTGTATTATGTATGAAGAATGGGCACATAGTTATAGGGCTATGCATCAAAGTATCAGGTAGTTATAGGGCTATGCATCAAAGTATCGGGTATAATGTAACTAATTCACTGAGGGTGTTATTACAGTGTAGCAGTGCAGCAACAGTCCCATTTTAAGATAAACAAGGTAGCTGTGTAACTTATATAGTGTAGCAGCAATCTCTTTTTATTAAGATCTACTGTGTTAAGATATACCATGTAATTGTTGCTATCCAAATCCAAAGTCAAGATATTGATGTTAAGATAAACCATGTAACTGTTTCAGTATGGTGGTAATCCAGTGTCCTGTTCAATTGCCTTGGCTGTATTAGATGTTATTGAAAAAGAACACCTGAGACAGAATGCTCTGGACGTTGGTCACTACTGGAGAGATAAAGTTACAGAGTTGATGAGCAAGTTTGACATTATTGGACAAGTAAGGTAATCACAGTTTACTAGTTAGCTCACCCAGCTTTAAGGGCCAAGTGAACTTACGCTGTGGTGCGGCGTCTGTCGTCCATCCATTGAGTGTAAACTTTTCCATTGAAATAACTTCTTTCAATAACCAACAGACAAAATGTATTGGTATCTGGCTAATTGGTTTCTAGGATGGATGCCCACAAAGTTTGCAAAAAGAAATGACCTTGACCCCGTATTCAAGGTCATGGGGCCAAATTTTTGAAAACCTTCAAACAACTTCTTCTGACTAACCAAAAGGTGCTGAAGTATGGTATTTGACTGATGATGCTTAACAAATTTTGCAAAAAGAAATGATGTGGACAAATATTCAAGGTCACAGGAGTCAAACTGGTTAAAACCTTAAAAGGACTTATTCTGACTAACCAAAATGTGAAATTGCATGGTATTTGGCCTGTTGGTTACAGGTTGAAGGCTGACAAACTTTGGGGAAAAAAATGACCTTGATGTATATTAATGGTCACCTGGTGACAAATTTGATAAAACGTTTAAAAAATCTCTTCTGAATAACAAAACGGCACAGAAGCCTTGGATTTCGCTGATAGGTTCCTATAATGAAGTCCAACAAAGTTTTAGAAAAGAAATGAACTTTGACACTTATTTAAGGTCACAGGAATCAAATTTATGAAAGCCTCCAAACAATTTCTCATTAACAAAAAGGCCGAAAGTATGGTATTTGACTGATAGGTTCCTAGTATGAAGCCTGACAAACTTTATGAAGATAAATTACCTTGACCAATATTAAAGGTCACAGGGGTCAAATTGGTTAAAACCTGTACCAATATTGTACATGTTAAAGTTTTTGACAAACACTGATTCTATTTTTGAGGAACATTAAATAACAGGTGAGAGGTGCAGGCCCATTGGGCTTCTTGTACGGATTGTGATGTGATAGAACTATGAACAATTTGTACATTCACACTGAGGTAATATGGATCTCATTCAGATTGATTGGTATATGAATTGAACTAAGATGCTTTGAAGTAAGAATTCATTTATAGTTGCTTGTCAATTAAACATCTGATGTATTTTGTAGTTATATTTCTTACTTTGTAATATGCTGCTATTAATTTTATAGTCTACTCTTATCATTGCAATTCTAGGCCTGAATCAGACATCAGTTATCAGTCATAGTCATTATCATACCAGCTGACAAGGAACTGGTGACTGTATGCCTTATCTGTGGACAAAAGTAATATTCTTCAGTCAAGAAGTAAAGGTCTTTCCAACATTTTACAAAAATAGACCTTTATATCATAGCATTTGTCCATTACAGAATAGGCCATAAACTGTAAGACACCATTCCTATATGACTTCTATATGTTGATGTTTAACACTACGACCAATCAAACAACCTTATTTTCATATAACAGGGGTCAAGGTCTTTTTCTTGGTATTGATCTTGTGAAGGACAGGGAAACCAGAGAGCCAGCCACTGAAGAAGCAAAGAAGGTTATTACGAGGTAAGAGTAATATCTTGACCTGATAAAGGACAATGTGACATTGGATTGGAATTCTCATAAAGTTAACAATCCATAGATTGGCTAATTGACACCCATGGTCATGGATATATTGCCATCTGAAGGAAAAAAGCACTTGAATACAGTTGAGACTTGTCTCAAAATTGCTTGAGTCGAAATTCTGTTTGAATTGAAATGGTTGTCTAGACCAGATTTTTGTCCTTGTATATCTTTGTAGTTTTAGTTTGGATGACTCAGATTTCATTAGTCGAAATTTCGGTTAAATCAAAGCGATTTTTCAGTCCCTTCAATTGCAAAGCAAGGGAAAAGTCACTTGTTGTCTCGAAATTAATTTTTGTCAAAACATCAGCACTTCTTCTGACAAAATCGATCAATACATACACAAAGTTTAAAGTCTAATATTCTAATACCCTTCATCTAGCATTGTACGTTGTTTATCCATAAACAAGTTAACACTTTCGACTTCTCAAAAACCTCAGATCCAATTTCAATGAAATTTTGCAGAAACCTTCCTTGACCTAAGATGAACCAAAATTGTGAGTTATACTGTCCCCATCCACCATGGGCCTGAGGGCCAGGCCAAAAGGGGTCAAATTGACTCAGATTTCAAAAATTTATTCTCAAGATATGGTAGAATCAAATACTCTTCATGCATGAAAGCATCTTAAGGTGCTATACCAAAATCATGAATTTCATGGCCCCAGGGTCCCGCATATCCCCGTGGAGAGGGGGTAAAGTTTACTATAGTTTATATAGGAAAACTAGATTTTTGGACATAATTTGTTTAATTTCCATTGAAAATATTTCAAACATTGTTAGAATTATGTGTGAAGGATGACGGCTTAATGGTATGCCCATTTAGATCCTGACTGACCCCCAGGGGCTGATTGGCGGGACCAAAAGGGGTCAGATTTACTTAAATTTCAAAAATCTTCTTTTCAAGACCCAGATATGGTAGAATCAAATACTCTTCATGAATGGAAGCATCTTAAGGTGCTTTGATTACTAAAATGAGTCTCACATTTCTTTCCGGGGAGGAACATTTTTGTTTTAGATTTTACTGTCTTTTTCATAGAAAAATTGTACTTTTGAGTCATTGGTTATTTCCCACTGGAATTAACTTTATAAGAATTTTAAGTATAGGATGACAGTTTTAATGGTATGCATGAATTGACACTGTCTATATTCAGTGTCACAATTTCTGTTTCATGACACTTAATAACTATCCTTTAACCTTTATATTCAATATTGCTTATCTCAGGTGTTTGTCAAGACCGCTTGGCCTCTTGTTAGGTCATCTGACCTAAAGGGTTTCGTCTGTCGTTGTGTGCTGTGCATAAACATTCCGTTCAAATGACTTCTTCTCAATAACTTAAAGGCCCATGGTGCTTATATTTGGCCTGTAGCATGCATGTAAAGCTATGTAATTTGTCAATATGAATGACGTTGACCCACTTTCTAGGTAACTGGGGTAAAATATGTTGAATTATTTAAACAACTTCTTCTCTAAAACCAAAAAGCCAAGGGTACTGATATTAAGCCAGTAGCATACTGAGATGAGGGGCTATCAAGTTTGTTCATGTTATTGACCTTGATGTACTGCCAAGGTGACAGGTGTCAAATATATCAAAATTTTAAAATGTTTTTACTCAATAACCAAAAGGCTGAGGGCCCAGAATTTTTTACTTGAAGTTTCTGAGCTTGTTACTAATTATTGTAAGATATTTTCTATAAGAGTTTCTGAGCTTGTCACTAATTGTTGTAAGATATTTTTTATTTAAGTTTCTGAATCTGTTACAAATTATTGTAAGATATGTTCTATCAGAGTTTCTGAGCTTGTCACTAATTGTTGTGAGATATATTTTATTAGTGTTTTTCGACTTGTTACTCTAATTGTTGATATTTGTTATGATGATTTTTGAGTTTTACACTAATTGTAAGTTATTTTGTATAAATATTTCTGACCTTGACATTATCACTGTTGTAGGATGAAGGAGGAACATATATTGTTGAGTACAGATGGCCCCTACAGTAACGTCATCAAAACCAAGCCTCCCATGTGTTTCAGTAAGGATGATGTTGACCATTTTATGGAGAAGTTTACAAACATTTTAATGGAGGTAACCTCACAAGGAAATGATACAAATATCAACTCTTCACAGGGGATTAATAGCTGTTCCCTCACTACTAGTAACATGGATGTTATCAACTTCGATGATGGCGACATTAACAAAAACATATGTACTGGCCTACAGGCCATGAAGGTGCACTAGTCTTTTATCTACTGCTTAAGTTGTTGGTGCAGCATGTTGATAAAGTAACATACAGTGTCACCTTGTATGTGACCTTGCTATGGCTTTTGGTCAGTTACTGATGATGTAGTCTGGACAAAGTGCCTCATATTTGTGGTTATGATCCCATACTCTCACTTGGCTCCATGAGCTATAAATACTGACTTTGAGATATATCAGTTGTAATAATCCCTTAGTCCACCTAGCTCCATGAGCTATAAATGATGACTTTGAGATATAACAGTCGTAATAATCCCTTAGTCCACCTAGCTCCATGAGCTATAAATACTGACTTTGAGATATATCAGTTGTAATAATCCCACAGTCTCTCTTGACTTTGAGATATATCAGCTATAAGTCTCTCTTGACTTTGCTATAGATACTGATGAGATATGTAATAATCCCACAGTCTCTCTTGACTCCATGAGCTATAAAACACTGACTTTGAGATATATCAGTTGTAATAATCCCACAGTCTCTCTTGGCTCCTTGAGCTATAAATACTGACTTTGAGATATATCAGTTGTAATAATCCCACAGTCTCTCTTGACTCCTTGAGCTATAAATACTGATTTTGAGATATATCAGTTGTAATAATCCCACAGTCTCTCTTGGCTCCTTGAGCTATAAATACTGATTTTGAGATATATCAGTTGTAATAATCCCACTGTCTCTCTTGGCTCCTTGAGCTATAAATACTGATTTTGAGATATATCAGTTGTAATAATCCCACAGTCTCTCTTGGCTCCTTGAGCTATAAATACTGATTTTGAGATACATCAGTTGTAATAATCCCACAGTCTCTCTTGGCTCCTTGAGCTATAAAACACTGCACTTGGACTATCACATGACCTTTTAATTTGGTCCTTGTTAAATGGTATATTGTATTCCTGCATGTATCTTACAATACTTGAAACATTACAAGGTTCAGTCCATCTGATTTATATGGAAGTTACGTTTCTAATGTGATTGTACAATTGATGTTACTTTCCTCAGTAAGTGAAGTGAATGGTTTTGATAGAAACATTTTACTTGTATGAATTTCCAAACTGCTTTTTATCAAAAATGGCATACTGCAGCTACTAGAGACTGCTGTTTATATCTCATCCTTTTAATATTTCAATGATATTTGTATATGTTTGGTAGTTATGGTTTATAAATTAAGTTTTATCTGTTATAAAGTAACCTTAAACAACATCAGTGTAACAAATACAAAATTGATTAAGTAGTGCAACAGTTTCTAATTAGATAAATAATGTAAGTGTAACATCTGCTTATTAAGTATATGGTTTCAATTGATTATAATGTCAGTGTAGAGGTTACCAGTTAATTATAATGTCAGTGTAGCAGTTACCAATTAATTATAATGTCAGTGTAGCAGTTACCCATTAATTATAATGTCAGTGTAGCAGTTACCAATTAATTATAATGTCAGTGCAGCAGTTACCAATTAATTATAATGTTAATGTAGTAATTACCAGTTAATTATGATGTCAATGTAGTAGTTACCAATTAATTATGATGTCAATGTAGCAGTTACCAATTAATTATGATGTCAATGTAGTAATTACCAGTTAATTATGATGTCAATGTAGTAGTTACCAATTAATTATGATGCCAATGTAGCATTTACCAATTAATTATAATGTCAATGTAGCAGTTACCAATTAATTATAATGTCAATGTAGCAGTTACCAATTAATTATGATGTCAATACATATTGTTACAGACCTCTGAACATGTATCTGTATAATATTGTATACTGAGAAATATTCGCAGCAGTATAATATTGCAGATAGGACAAAATCATCAAGTGGGCTGATGGTTATAATGATCAAGCTGAAATATAAGATTTTATGTATATTAAGGCTGATTTAACATTATGGTGATAATGAACTCTTTTATGCAAGGACAGAACTAGCCCTTAACTAATGTTTCCTGTTATACGTGTATATGGTAACGTAATCAATGCTTTTTAAGGTTATGATTAGAAAATATTGTTTATTTTGGTGTTACTCTTTAATGTAGGGCAGTTTTTGTTAGTCTACTTTTACAGTTAAAACCAATGCAGGGTTTCCATTACTAGTCATATCCATATTCAGGGAAATTATTGATAATTATGTCAGTGTTTATACAATTAACATTTATTTAATTAGGGTTTTGTGTCATATTCTATTCTGTTTGAGAATAATATTGTGATATATATGCTATCAATAATGCTAAAAAAGGCTATATATCCATCTCTGATGTGCGTCTTCAGTTGGATGCAACAACTGGAAGATCTGCATATCCTAGCTATCCTTGCTATTTTGTTTTGGCATACCTTGAGCCATAGTGGAAACCCATGATCTTTGCAATGCTTAAGGCAGTTGTGATGGACTATTGCCTTTTGTTTCTTGTCTGCTGTGCGATATAAAACAGGTGATTTCATGGCGGTAATCACATATTAACCTATCCCGGCTGGTTTAATCTTTGGGCACTGTCCCATCTTGGTCACTGAGTCCACTTCGAGTTCAACATCCCCAACTTCATAATGCTTTTGGTTCAGGTGTTTATCATAGGAGTGGTTCTGCTGGTCCTGTGCCGCACACAGGCTCTCATAAGCTAATCGGTGAGCTCCTTGTAAAGCTTGCGGAAGTGGCTGTACATAGTCAGTGGGCTCCTTGTGTTCCTGATTAAGCAATATCCAGGAACATATCAAGTGGTTGGCAAACCTTTCTCCCAAATATCATAAAGTTGGGATAAATCCATTCTTTTGGTGGTGTTTGACTCAAAATAGCTCCTGCCAGTTGCCGCAACCCCTTCACGTTCTTGGAAGGATGGATAAGCATGTGATCTTATAGGTTAGCTCCTTTAGCAATAATTGGTACTTGTATGGTCAGGGCAAATGTTTTTTAATATCTCTCTGAATTATTACATTATTATTATGACATTTGGCCTGAAAAATGTGCTTATCAAACAATATTGTATAATTGGAAAAGTCGATGGATGTCTTGTGCCTTTCTGGAAAATCAATGCCGATAAATAATGGCACCCCAATATAGGCCACTATGAATGCAGCCTTGGTGTTAATGGACCCTATTCCAATATGTAAGCCATCAACACCTCTGGCTGGAAGTTTTTGTGATGTTTCCATACTCCACTCAGCCATATCTGCCATAAAGGTACTCTGCTATGACCCAGGGTGTTGAAGCACTTGTTGCGTAAAATGGATACCTGGGCTACAGTGTCTATAACTGCATCCACAACTGTATCGCCCAGCTTAATCGGTAGATAGAGATATAGTCCTTGAGAGTATGTTTTGCCCCCTTGTCATGAAGAGTGACCTCGAGTGCGGTTAGGGACCTCATTCCCACTCTAATAAGTGATCGAGAACAGTTTCCTCTTGAACAGCCTGGGAGATCCTCTGTGTATCTAATTTGATACCTGTCACTTCATTCAATAGTTTACTAACCTGATCTTCGAAATGATCATACTCAATAACTGACCTAACACATAGTGCCTGATGAATGCTTGAGTCAAGCTTACCATTAGCAAATGTCACCCATTTACTTTGGATTTGTGGTGCTTTACACCCATTATAAATCTTTGGTGAGTCACTGCAGGTTTCACCATCACCAGTGTGTCACCTAAAGTGACTGGAGATTTGTCTGTTAAGGTTAGGGCAGCCTACCTGTCAAGCAACACCCTTAGGAAAGGGCCATCATCAGGACGAAGTCTTCTGGTGAATCAGGAAAACTGCCCATGGACAGTTCCAGAATCCATTCAGGAAACTCCAGTAATTCCTCATCATCAAACATTTTCAGGTCCTGCAACGCAAGTCCACCAAGACTTTCACCTGCAACCAGAATGATTTTTTTCTGTTAAATTTGTAAGAATATATTAATAAAAGACAAACTGGCAGCCAGATTAAATACTTCTGATACTAATGTTATATACGCTATCGATAACCCTAAACAGGCTATAATGATCTACAAGTATGTCAGTGAGCAGGGCTGTAAGAACCTGTGTGTTCACTAACATGCTAAACTGCAGACTGACTAACAATGGATCTCGTGCTAAAGTAAAGCAGTCGCCAACCTGCCCTTGGGCATCTTGGTATTTACAAGACAAGTCGCCAAAACGAAACGGCACTTCAGCATACTGCAGAGGTATACACCAAGGAAGGCTCATTTCATTACAATATGCAAAATTTAGACCATCATCTCATTAGATATTAAAGATAGTGTCTAATGTTAACACTGTCACACAGGAAAAAATCAGGTGTTTATATCATGCTATATAAAAAGGTACCCCAGGCCTGTTAAAAGTCAGATGTGTGAATTAATTGCCATGAATTTACTTAATGTCTGATATCAACGAAATTTACCTTGTGATGTCAAAGCTATTGCTGATTTTATCAGGGCCATATTTGCCTATCAGGTTAAGCTACATACATAATTTTTACTGATTGTTAAATTTTTTACTAATTGTTAAATTTGTTTTTCATAACAAAGTCAACTGATATGTTATTGACAAAGATGTTTTTAGTAATTACAATATCACTGTTTATTCTCTGGTATCCAGGGACAACATTTTGATATTTTAGAGTAGTATTTTATTATAAACAATATTATTCAAGCACTGCTACCTAACTCTTTTAGTAGCATTTTAGCAATGCAATAGAAATGAGACATTCCTGAAAAATATCCCCTGATACAAAATTATTTTGTAGTTTTCTGTTTTTGTTTTTAGTGAATTTGTTAAGCAGTATTCCACTTATTAGATGTCTTCTATTTAGTTGACTGAACAGTTGTTATTTAGATACTTACAATAGATAACAATGTTATGTAGGATGGTTCAGTGAAGAGACTTGTAGATTAATTTATTCCATACCAAAGATTTACCAAAGAATCTCCTGAAAGAGATGTTGAAATTGTATTAGTTTGATATATACATGTATTAATTTACATGTGAGTCCTATTGTTGTTTATTGTAATTTTATGTACCTACCATAGTTTGATTTGTCGTTCATATACAAAATGCCACAAAAACTTTCCTTTCAACTGTGTTCCTCAATCCCTATTAATAACTTTCAAGTTCGATGTTTGGTTTTAGAAACTGTGTGAGGTTCAACTAGACTATTTCTATGGAACTCAAATGTATTCTGACCCAGTAGGGTCAACAGCATTATAATTACATTTTGGTCAGTTTAGTCAGAATACACATTGATGTTCTGTTACATACAAATTAATGATTTTGTTGATCAGACTTATTAAAATATGTTGAATTCTCGCTGGTTGTATATTTTATGAATTTGTGGGAGAAAATCAGTGGGGCATGCATGAAAAT